ATGTTTGCCTTCTGGTTTTAGTCTAAGCCATTTACAGGTGGGTAGTTTTACGGTGGGTAGTCTCCCATAAGCCTTCCATACCATTCCTATAAGGTAAAGGGGTCTTATGGGAGTACTATGGAAGAGGAACTACCCACCTGTAATGGGCTTCTATTTGGGCGCCTCCTATTTGGGGGTTTCCGAAAATTGGGGGTACCTTGTTTTGGGGGTCCGTATAATAAGGATCCTACTATTTAGGGTACTATATTAGGGTCCCCTATTTTCGGAAACTCCTATTTCGGAAGATGTTGCCATGTCCGACAAGGCAAGCCCAGGATTTTTGAAGGACTTAGGATCGATCCTGTTTGTTAATGTTCTTAAAGGATCATGGGGTTCCTTTAAAGGATACTATAAGGGTTCCTTTAAAGGGATCTACAGGGCTTAGGGTTTAGGGTTTAATGTTCTTCTAGGATGCCCAGTAGTACCCTCATTCCCTTTTTGTAGTCCTAGGTTCCTTATAAATACCAAACAGGGAGCCCAGTTTATTCCTAGGTTACTGGGCATCCTAGTGTCCTAGTCTTGGTTTATAGCGAGTTTGAAAGTTGAGGATAGTGCAGTATGCGGAGTCTTGCTGGACGCTGACTCTTCCTAGACCCCCCAAACCCTTGTCGGACACTTTGAGAAGGACCGGGTTATCCAAGCGTATTCCAGAATGTAATTTAGTGGCCTTGATAACTACTGTTACTAACACGAGTTAGGAGGTTCCTTATTGTAAGTATATGCCCCAAAACCCTATTCTACTGCATTAAGGCCCCTATATTAAGGTTTGCGGTGGCGTCAACTTTTATCGGTGCTGGCCGAACCCCAGGCGGGCGCAGGAGGACACCGCCCTGCCCCAAGATGCCTGGGCGGGGAAAGACTTGAAATCAGGGTTCATGGTTTAGGGCTATGTAGTCTTTACTTTACGGCTCCGATGGTTCTGAGATGAGAGCCGTAATTCAAGGTCTCACCCCCTATCTTGGAGAGTCTGGGGACCCGGCCCCGACATGCATGGTAAGCGCCCTCATGTGGAGTTGTTTCTTCCTTTTGCCTGGCTCGCACCGTTTGGGGGTGCTGCCGCGACGCGCGTAAAGTGGGGGCCCAAGTAATACCAGTCCATTGCGCCCCTACAGTACCCGGCCACATCCCAGGAAACGCGCGCAGCGATTTCGCATCATCTCCCTAACCCAAGGCACACACCTTGTGAACTTTTAGCGGGAAGCCTTTTGGCTGCGTCTTCCTTCACGTGGAAGATTATTGATTTTGATGTGAAATCGTGGATGCATCGGATCTTGAGTGGTGACTGCAAGGACCTTAAACCCAAAACCCCGAAACCCTATGCCTCGCCTGGATTGTCCGAGTGTGAACGCCGAAACCCCTAAACCCAAAGGTCCTCTGATGACACTCATAGGCGTCTGAGGCCTTAAGCCTCAAGAGCCTGTAAGCCGATAAATCGAATGCGGTGGCCCAGTCAGACTCGTATGACTTTTCGGATGGGCGGAAGCTTTTGTAGAGTTGCCAACTGAACAACCATTCTAGTGCTGGACATGCTAATGATCATGACATTTTTTTTTTCCAGTGTGACCTGCTTATATAAGTGTATATCAGGGTTGATTGGCCACCCGGACTAAGTGGCCCTTATACAAAGCGTACCACGTAATGACTGCATCAAAGAAGTTGGCTGATTACTTGCGTTTGGAGCTTAGGTCAGTTCAATAGGTGGCTTGTGAATGCGGGAAGTCTCCCTGCAGCTTCACAGATCCTGGGCACGAAGTGCTACACCGGGTATGCCTTTGAGAGCGCATGTAAGGTAATTGGTTGTTTCAGTTGCGTGCAGCCTCGCCACGCCGGCCTCGTGTTCAAGCTGGTTCGTTGGGCGGTCGTCCGCCAACGCAGGTGTAGTACCTAATGATCGACGGTGAATCCTGATCCCATCCAAAGCTACCCGGCACCGTAAATGTCCTTGCATGGTTAACAGCATCTACAAGAATAGGCCGGGTAAGTTTGGGCGCTTAGGGGAATATGAAGAAATAGTCGCAACACCACTATGATAGCTCGACTTGCTGTAACCCATGTTAAAGTGCAGCAGTAGGTATACAGCATAAGACGTCCTGAACCACTCTCACCACATGTGAGACCCTTGTTTTCGCGCAGCTGAAATGCAAATGAATGAATATGAGAGTGTACTGACTTGAGCAGCCCAAAACTTATGATCATCAAAGCTTGCATAAAGGTTTGACATTATGGAAATGATAGCCACTTGTACAGCTGCGCTATATTCGAAATTCCACTGTAACGATCTTTCGTCACGTCGATATGGCCAGCAATGGCAGCATCGCCACTGCAGAGACAGACATTCGGCAGCGATCACTCGATTTCCTGACGAGGCTGCACATGGCTTCTAGAGTCGTTTTAGGGTTTGAGGTCTTAGGGCGTTTTCGACTTTATGAAGGGTTGATGTGTGTTTGTTTTTTCGGATTTAAGGTGTTGGTTTAAAGAGAGGGTTTGTCTGCTGGAGGTGTAGGACAAAGCTTGTTTTTGGGTTCCTTATTATGGCTTCTGAAGTAACTCTCAAGAACATCTAGGCTTTTAGGGCTAGGCCTGAGGGTGGTATACTCCAAATCTTGATGCCTACGCCTCAACTTCTGAACCTGAAATCCCCGGCAACATACCTCAGGGCCGACACTGGGAGTCCACTATTGTGATTCGTAATAGTAGTAATATGTCGTGATGCTGTCATCGTTTTTTTGGTAAATTTGGAACCCTAAACCTGGAACGGTTCTGGGGTTTCACGACTGAGGCTTCTCGATTTCAATCCGATGCAGCCCATAATAATGGAAGCCCAAATAATTGCCAGTATTCTTGTTAGGGTTCCTTGTTTTTTCTTTACTGTAAAGGAACCCCAAAACCTATTCTATTATAAAGGCCCCTACATTATGCATCCTCTGCGTACGTGGGGGCTCGGCAACTCAAACCATCGCCTGAAGCCTTCATCCTAATACAGGGGCTTACATAATTACCAATGCTATTTTGAGGGTTCCTTATTTTACAATTATCGTATAATGGGCCCCAAAATCCTTTCTAATTATTAAGGCCCCTACATTAGCTCGAGCGTTCTTTCGAAACCCTGCTTTGCGTGAGCCCCTGAGCCGGAAACTCTCCAAGTCCTTGCCAAGATCAGGTGCCTCGTCGAAGCACTGCAATGTCCCCGACATCCCATCGAGGTGGTGGGATGCTGCTTGTTGACGGATCCAATTCGGGGGGACTTAATTAGTAATGATTGCTTTCTGTGCTTGTGTGCTTGCTGTCTCGCGTGCTCTCTGCTAATCCAGTTGCTTTGGCCTGTGAAAAACATACCACAGTTACTACTTACTGCGGCTTGCGAACACCAATACCACGACCACTTTACAACTGCTGCTGCTTCTGCTACTGCCGCGACTGCGACGAGGACTACGACTACTGCTGCTGCTGCTGCTGCTGCTGCTGCTGCTGCTGCTGCTAGTACTAGCACTGCTTCTGCTGATACTACTACTACTACTACTACTACTACTACTACTACTACTACTACTACTACTACTACTACTGCTACTGCTACTGCTACTACTACAACTACTACTACGCTGACAAGCGGGAGCCAAAAACTACTACTACTACTACTACTACTGCTACTACTACTACAACTACTACTAGTACCTGCTGCTGCTTTTGCTACTACCACCAAGTCCCAGTCCAAGCAGCTCTACTCGAATGACAACGACAACGCATACCGTGAATATTCACTAGGTAACTAGGACTTCTGGGATGCCCAGTACCCTTATTCCCTTTTTGTAGTCCGAGGTTCCTTATAAAGTTACCCACTAGCAAAACAGGTGCCCTTTTTATTCCTAGATTACTGGGCATCCTAGACTTTAGATGCTGAAGGCGACCCTGGGTCCAAATACTTTTTTGAACTTGCCGCGGCTGTCAAGAATTTGCGAAGCAACCTATATACAGTTATGGTTTTGAATAAGGTAGAATCTCAACTTCAATCTGGTTAGCTTGCGAATTCATGCATCTTGTATGTCGGCGGAGGGTTCTTGCATTGGCAGACATAAAAATGAATTAAAACCTTTCGAGGTCTTTCGTACCTCGGTAAAGGAGGACATTAGGTCCATGCCTGTCCAAGGCTTGACACCGAGTTTCGGCTTGGAGTTGCGACTGTGATTGGTTTTCGAATTAAACCCTGTGAGATTTCGTCATAACAAGGTTTACATTGAAACCTATTTGCTGGAATCGCACGTCCCTCAGGGTTTCTGATAGTCGGGGCACCACGACGATGCAGAGTCCAAATTCCAAAGCCTAAGCCCTGAGACTTCAAGTCTGGCTTCTGGACTTCTGGGCAGAGGGACTTTCGGCCTTCCACTGCTTCCACTGTAGCACCCAGGGGCTGGGTTTGGGGCTTAGGGCACGGGTTAAGCTTCCGCTTCCAGACCCTTAGAACCGCCCGGAGCATTAGACCTGCCCTTCAGGCCCTTAGACCCCTAGACGTTCTATATATATATATAAATATAAATATAAATATAAATAAATATATATATATATATATATATATACACATACACACTTCACCCTTAAACCCCGACCTTCCGACACGTTCACCCTGGACCTTCTAGACCTGTGGGCCCCTAGCCCGCCAATGACCGCCGGGCCCCTAAACCCCTTCAGATGGGAAGACTAGGGTTTAGGGTTTCTTATCTATGTCGCATCTTCAAAGCTTTTTGAAAGCCAGTTGCCACGACCGCTGGATGCGTCTCACGGCATGGGGCATGCAGGGGGAGAGCATACAAAGGTGTCCATGGACAGGAAGTTTAAGGCTACTGTTGCTTTTGTTCGCTCCTACCTTGAGAAGCACCGTCAGCGCCAGTTGCACTTTCTGCACCAACTTCCGAGCAATTTAACTTCTGAATCTGGAGCTTAGGCAAGTAGCCTTTCTTTTTCAAGCGATGGAGCACTTCGGCAGCTGGTTTTGTGTGGCCTTGGCGAGCTGCTGTCTCCCCCTAGGGGAGACATTTTCCTGCTTGCCAGAGGCCGTCCCAGTCAGTAACCAGCGGAACCTGACCAACTCACAGGGCGACTCCTATCCCGTCGCTCTGCTTGATATCCCTGCGGGCAGGGGTTCAAGTTCAGGCAGGGTGAGTACGATGCTGACCCACGTAGCTAGCAGATTGATTCAGGAGGCTTTGGGCTACAAAGCCGTTCATGATGCGAGAACAAGAAGTGTCGGCGACACCGGTCTCTTCATTTTGGCGGGCTGCGAGCAGCCTTTTCAGAAGGCAGGCTGCAATGGCGGACCCATCCGCACCCACATCTTACTCCAGCCATCGGTCTATGAGATAAGCCAGTACAACTTGGGGCCTAGGCCGCCTGAGGCTGTTGGAATCGGCCTTGGGTACGAGACCATCAGCGGTGTGCACATCTCGGCAGCAGTGGCGGAGAATGCTCTGCAAGATTCAGGCCTACCCCTTGCATTCTATCAGAACTGGAATGCTTCTTGGTTCGACCCTGCGAAGTACTTCGACAGCTACGCATCGATTCCGAAATCTTCTCTTTTGCCATGCAACGAGACCGTTTTCGGCGACAAGCAACTCATGGCCGACTATGTGAGAATCACTGGAGATCATGAAGGTCTCCATCCAGACGGTACTGGCCTGTGTCCCGATGACTACTGGTTTTTGGCGCCAAGCTGCAGGGGAAATTCATCTCGGTGCGTGCCCACACTCGGTGGGAATGCACCAAGTGGCAGAGATGTCTTGCAGATGCTTCAGAAAAGCGCTGCGTTTGACATGCCTCTTGCTTTGGCAAAGCCAATAGACGGCATTCAGCGAGAGAGACTTCCAAGCAACTTCAGAATGGCCTTCTTCAATTTAGCTCCAGGGTCAACCTTCCTGGAATTGCGGCCACAGGTTGTCCACTTTCCAACTCATGATGCCTTGGCCTGGAGCAGGGGGGACCTTCGAACGATGTTGAGTGGGTCCCTCAGCCAGAAGGTGGTGTCTCGGGATCTGCGTGTCCTTGCCCCGTCCGTGGTGGAGATGTTGACACGCATGGAGATGTCAAACGCAATGGTTGACCAGCTTCTAACCGATCATGTTAGCTCTGGCCAATCGATAGATCAGGCTGTTTGCCAGTGGCTGCTCGGTAACCGTGAAGTTTGGTCGTCGTGGATCCCAGACGAGACGCAATGCAGTCCCGGATTCGGTCTGTACAATATTTCTGACGATCAGTTTCTGTTGGGGCGTATGTCACATGCAGATCTCATCGGATGCAAGGCCTGCGAGTCTGGACGCTACTCGGCACAACTCTTTGACCAGCGCGGCTACACCCACACCTGTGACTAGGCAGTGCTTTGGGACATTTTAAATTTGCTCTTATTGGGCTTCAGAGGATCTACTAGTATTCTGCAAAGGCTTCTAAGAGGATCTTACCTACTAACATTCTTCAAAGGCTTCAAAAGCCCCTCCTAGGTGAGCTCTGTCCCGTCGGTCGGAGCCAGCCCTTGGGAGCTGCCGTCTCTTGCGAGCCCTGTGCCTTGACTGCTCTTAGAAAAATGTACACTGTTGATTTTTGTTTCGTATGATATAACTTCAGGGGGTTGATATTTCGAGTATTCATACTTTTTTGAATTTTGTCAAATATGATATAACTTCAGGAGGTTAAATATAAGAGTATTATACACTTTTGACTTTTTTGTTAATTATGATATAACTTCAGGTTGTTAAATCATATATGAGAGCACTCGTACACTTTTGATTTTTGTTAAGTCCGATATAACTTCAGGTGGGTAATACTAAGAGTATTATTTTCATGCTGGTTCTGAGAGCGGCTAAGGTGCCAAGGGCGAGTTTCAGAATCTCAAGGGCAGTAAGACTTGCAAGCGCTGTGGCATCGGCACCTACCAGGACCAGACTGGTTCCATGCACTGCAACAACTGCACCAATGATACGACGACCGTGGGATTGGGCTCTATCTCAGAAGCTGACTGCGGATGTCCTGCAGGCCGAATCAACATCGCCACAGATGCAGACACCACGGCTGCTGGGTTCTCGACAAAGGATTTATAACTGAAGCTACCTTCAAAAGGATGCCATATTATTTACTATAAATCCCTGTTATATGGTAACTTAAATTCAATTCCTTAACAAGAACCCAGGCTGTGTGCGTCCTTTGTCAAGCTGGCATGCAGTGTCCCGGCCTGTCGAGTAGGGAGTCCCTCGTGCGGGGAACTTCGCAGCTGGGAGAGGACTTTGTTCCAAAAGTCCTGCCTGGCTACATGAGTCTTACAGAAGAGGCCCTTGGTTGTGCTTTGGGATAATGTTTAATTTCCCTTATTTCCTTATAAAGGCAACCTATTCATAGATAATTTTCAAAGGGTTTAAAGCACAACCCAGAGGCCCTCGACGTCTATAAGTGCGACAACGCCGAAGCATGTCCGGGAGGTACACCTGGCAGCTGCACGGGTTCCAGCAAGGGGGTTGGCTGCTTCGAATGTGCCGACGGTACCCAGTGGAACGGCGAAGACTGCCAGCCCTGTGAGTCATGGATCAGGGTTGGATGGGGCATCGCCATCGTGGGAGTCTGTGTTTTCTTACCTTTCGCCCACACCGTGAAAATGAACGACACATCACCGACACGAGAACTCGTGGTTTTCACGCTTTTAAGTATTTTCGAAATAGGCGGCAACCTTTTGCAGACCCTGGCCATCACCGGCCAGATGACTTTGGAGTGGCCACAGCTTTTGGTTGATGCTTTCTCTTTCCTCGAGGTTTTTGCCTTCGAAGCCAGCGACTTGGGCATCAGCTGCATCAGCGGATCGCGGCCACTGCAGCAGTTCGGATTTCAGGTTGCTGTGCTGCCTGCCGGACTGCTTTGGGTGCTCGTTACACATCTCCTGCTGCGCATGCTCTCGCGAGGCCGAAGCTTGCCCCAGCTTATGGCTTCACTGGGGCAGATTGTAGTGGTATGCTTCAGTGCAGTCAGCAATCTGTCTATGGTTCCTTTCATGTGCTTTAGACATCCCAACGGCCGGTATAGCAACCTTCAGATGCTCAGCATAATCTGTGGCAGCCATGACCATGCAGCCATGATGATCATGGGCACATGCCTCGGGGCTTTGCTCTGCGCTTTTTGGGCCATGTGTATCTGGATCTTGTGGCGGTTACCGAGCTGGAGTTTGAATGAGAACTACCACGAGCATGTTGTGGCTTCGGAGTTCCTGTGCTATGATTAAGGTACCTAATGTGTATTACATTACCCTTTTTCGGTATATATCGAGTGAAGATCCTATAGCCTTCCTCGATAAGCTCGTCAGATTTGCTTGGGAAGCGTGGTGCCAGTTTTCCCTGTTTTAATTTAGTTTCTTCAATGCAGTGCTAATTGTCTTGAAGCTAATGTATCCGGTATGACGGCTGAACTGGTCTCACCGTCGTAGTATAGGCTAGTATATGCCCCTACTTGTGCTTCGCATTGTTTGCAAACCTGTTGGGAGCCTTTCTTCGCTCGACGGAGAACTCTGTAACGCAAGCTTGGTTTCTTGGCGACCACCCAAACCCTAAGCCAGGTTTCTGATCGACAAGTTCCGTTTGGACTCCTGGTGGTTCGGGCTTCCTCTTCTGCTACGTGGCCCTCTCATGTCCCTGCCTTTGCTCCTCTTCACCAACAACCCCGCTAGCCAAGCGGCTTAGGTGCTGAGTGGCGAGCTTTTGCCCTCTCTTGCCTTTGGAAAGAAATTAACTTGGAATGAAGGGCCAAGAGGGAGTTACACAATTACCGATCCTGTTCGCTACGGTTCCTTGACATAAGCACACACGACTATTTTAAGCATCCGCAAAACCTCATTGTAGTTAGAGGTTGCCTTCCAAGATCTTGTTAAACTCGGAAAGCCAAAATTCCCCGGAGCTCCGACTAAGGTGGTGCTCATGTCGCTCACGCTGATCGCCTACATCGTGCTCTTGAGCTTGGCGTGGCCTTTCAAGGAGCCTAGGGCTTAGGGCAAATATTTCATGAACGGTTTGTGTTTTTTTTGCAGGCTGCGACTTGCATGGCACCCCTTGGAGGTCCCTCTTCTGAATGCGGTGGATGCCACCTGCACCTGGGCCTTGATCCTGCTAATTTTAGGAGGATCGCTACATCTACCTCCGATGGATGAGGAGATGCTGGCATCTGCCGCCGTGTCCACGGTTGGCTCTGTCATTTTCGCTGCGGCAGTCCTCACCTCCGCGGTTTTCGCTGTCATGTGCGTAGGTGCCGTCCAACTCCGAACGGGCCAGGAGAGAAGGTTCGCAATTCTCGACTTGGCCCGCCTTCCACATCATGACGATCTAGCAGTGTCACTGCAGCTCACTGCCGGCAAGCTTGCGCAGATGGATCATGATGTGCTCAGTGAGCAACTACATTTCTTGGCTTCCTTCGACATGAAGCTCCTCCACACCAGCCTTTCCATGTTGGCCCTCGAAGTCGTACCGGAAGAACTCTCTCATGGCTTAGCACATCAGGGCGTCAGCCGAATTCGAAAAAGCCGAAGCCAGCTTCGCTCCAATTCGTCTCTTCGCTCAGCCTCAGCCAACAGCCTTGCTTCGCGATGCTTGGTGATTCTTAGGTAGTATTGTTAAGGAGACGCCTCAAAGGGCACCCCTTCTGAAACATACTCCTGACTCTCTTAAAAGGGGCCTTATTGATTGAGAGGGTCTATATCCCCAAGGGTCCCCCCAATCCTAACTCCCAATTCTTGTGACGGAGCTGTATTTAAGCTACTGCATTAACAGGACATACATTAAGTCCCTAAATCATGCACTTTTCTTAGTGTGGTACGTAGTAGCTCAACTCCGTTCCTTACAGCCCCTCACTCGTAACTAGGAGGTTTCCAAACCCTCATTACACCCCTAGGTGCCTCGACAAGAACTGGGTTGTGCTTTGGGACAATTTGTAATTTCCCTTATTTGCTTATGCAGAGAAGAACCTATTCATAAATAGTTTTCAAAGGGCTTAAAGCACAACCTAGAGAACTCAGGATCTTCCCTCGGCTCCCCGGATCCAGCTTGCAATGTCGCCGAGTCGGACGAGAAACCGCCGGTCATGGACGATCCAACGACAGATCCCAGGACCAACCAGTCACTGCAACGCAGTGCAGGAGACGATCCGGACATGACGACTTGTATTTTTTAGAAGTTTTGGATTCCCGGAGATTCTGGCTACCTGGAGCCCAATCGTATGTAGAGTAATAGCCTTCTAAAGGTATGAGGCCATAATTTTACCTACTTGTTGGGTACTGGCTATTGTGGCGGATCTCTGCAGACATCTCCAGGCCAGCTCGCAGCCGTACGTCTTAGACGAACGGCATGCTGGTTTGTCCATACTTTTGGTTTGAGTGGTTGGCTTCCTTCCCGAACTCTTGAGATAGATGTACAAGGTTCAAGGAAGGAGGTGTTCAGTGAGAAGAAGAAGCATGGAAACCCCTCTTCGGTCAAAATTGAAGACACCTTTCGCGGCATGATGCTAAGCTGCAGAAGGCTTGCAACATGGTGCCTTAATAATTACCTATAGTTACCTGTACTATTTTTGGGGTTCCTTATTGTAAATGTAGTATATTCTTGATCTGCGGCTCACTTACCCCAGACTCGAAACCCTCCAGCATGTACCAGGAAAACCCAAGCAGCCGTAGAACTGTCCGCGCCCGCCAGGCTGCGTTCGCAGAGGTCACAGCCGCAGACCGCGCTCAGGACTTTGAGGCCGAATACTGATATCGAACCTGACATCCTGAAACCCCATACCGGGTTCACAACCCAGGACTTGGGGTTAGCGTTTCAAGGTGTAGTTAGGGCAGGTTACAGGTAAACCCCATCAAGTCATGCATTATTCAGTTGAAGCCCTGCTTTGATCTGCATTTCATAAGCCAAAGCAGCACTGACATCAGCGAGGCTGCATGGGCAGAAGTCACAGCAGGACGCTGTGCTCAGGACTTGGAGGCAGAACTATGTTGGATTCGGCCTTCCACACGAACTAAGTTGCAACGTCCAAGGATATGTGGGGTCATACTGTTGATGGACAAATTCCTGCATTACCCATTATAAGGAATATACCATAGTTCCCATAGTTTAGAGTGCTTAGGGTCATGCAGGATTTTGTCCATCAACAGCAGCACCGGCCCTCTTGTTTTGGCATGAAGATGTTGGCAACAGTCAGTCGTTTGCAAGTCACCGTTGTCATCGAGATGTGTAGCCGCCGTCGTTCGAGTACATTGCAATGATGTGCAGGCACTAGCAGTCTGCGATCAATGTATCATCACAGATAGTAGTAGTAGTCGTCGTCGTAGTAGTAGTAGTAGTAGCAGTAGCGGTGGCAGTGGCAGTGACAGTGCAGTAGCAGTGTAGCAGCAGCAGGAGTAGTAGTAGTAGTCGTCGTCGTCGTCGTAGTCGTATTATACTTGTAGTAGCAGTAGTAGCAGTAGTGGTGGTAGGAGGAGGAGGAGGAGTGAGCTATACAGCGCATCCGGACCGCGCCCAAGCTGCAGTGTCCATGCTTAGCCAGCGACACCCAAAGCTTACACAGCGCGAGTGTTCGTGATCTTTCCGACGGTAGTTAGGTAGCTGCGGGCTTTTATGGTAACCCTATATACACAAAACCCAAGTTGCAGTGACACCATAGACGCCAGGCGGCCGCGTGGGCCTGCGCAGATGCGGCCGCACGTGGCTACCGCCAGAAGGTGCGCTGCTTCGCTGCATTTTTTGTGGTATGTCTACGTTAGTATACGTAAGTAAGTAGGTGATGAAGTGTAATTAAGCGTGCGAGTGTGTTTGTTTGTTTTGTTCGTGAGTCGGGCACGGAAGTACAGCCTTTGCTCAGACTGCACATGTTTAATTATGTTTGTTTTCGGACATTAACTCAGTAACCAGCTGCTGTCGACTCACGAGTATGTACTTGCACTCGATTAACTATGTACTTCTGCAGCACTGTAATTTCCAAAACCTTTCTCATGAGAAACTCCGCAACAGACAATGCGCAACATCGGCTTGGTGGGATGGCGATGTCTTCAGTAGACTGGGTTGAACGACAGCCATCGCCCTACGGATACGGAAAAGGATGTCTTTTACATCGTGTATGACACACGACGAGACACAGGCTGTCTACACACATAATATATATTTATATACATATATATATATATGTGTGTGTGTGTGTGTGTGTGTGTTCTTGGCCTTTGGACTGAGCGCTGTCAATGTGATCGCAGAGTCAACCTGCTGCCCCTCGAACCGAACCGACTGTCCGAGTTGCGAGAATCCAGTCCTCTGAAGTTTTCTGGTTAGTAATAACAGTATATAAATATCTCCGAGTCCGTGCTCAAAAAATACTGTTATATTCATAGTAACAATGATCCCTTGTCATGAACCCCAAGGTTTTCTGGCAACCCTGCACCCTAAAGACCCTAAACCCTGAACCCTAAGCTCTAAAGCCTTAAGGATTTCTGGCGACTTCACTGAAGCGGCCGGAAAATTCGCAGTTGCTGCGGCGGCTGCTCGACGGAGAGGTCCCTGGTGCAGGGTTTTCCAGGATATTTTATAGAGGCTTTCATAATTACCCATACTATTGTGGGGGTTGCTTATTTATCCTGTCGTATAATATACCCCCCCAAAATCCTGTTCTGATTATGAATCCCCCTATATTAGGGCTGAAGGTTTGGGGCTTACGGGCTTAGAGGTTAAGGTTTAGGGTCAAGGGCTTCGGGCCTACGGTTTGGGTTCATGTGCGAGATATCCTTTAACCCTAGTCCCCCCAAACCCTGTTCTAACCGTTGCATATTCAATTTGTGACAGTTCGGCTGATGGGCTCAGAGTTCTGTAGAGTGTCGCTTTTCCAATCACGGTTTCAATCATGCTGTCGGAGGGTCGGGTCGAGCCTTCAGCATGCATCCAGTTTGGCCGGACGCCCTTAAACCATGTAGTAGATCAGCATCGATAGTTCTGCGAGGTATTCCTCGCGTGTTGTTTTTATATGTGTGCGTGTGTTGCCGCATTTACATGCCTCGGGAGGCCGAGACACCTGCAGGATCATCATCATCATCATCACCATCATCACCGTTATCGTCATCGTCAAAGTTATCGTCATGATCGTCGCCGTCGTCTTCGCCATCGTCACCGTCACCAGCATCGTCTCCATCCCCGTCATCATCAGCATCATCATCTACACATTGCCATCGTCACACTGCTGTGTTGCCGGGTTCCGTCATGGTCACAACGGCTGCTGAACATCAGATCATCAAAAAAGTAGCAGTTGAAATTGCGAGTGCCGAAATCTAAGTGGCAGGTTCCTTGTCGCGAAGTTGTTCTTTGGCCCGAGGAGGACGCCAGTTGAGCGCACCTGTTGTTGTGAACATGCCTATGTCCTGCGCAGAGCCCCTTCTCCAAGCAAGGTGAAAGAAGTGCATGCTTGCGGCCCTCCAAAGCCAGGTCCAAGAAAGCTAAACTCAGCTAATCCCTCCTGAGTAAATTATAACCTAAACATACCTAAACCCTAATCTTAGCAAGACCCTGCCGCAGATCCTAAACCGCAAGGTTACCAGGATGCCCAGATTGTACCCTTATTATTCCCTTTGTAGTCCTAGGTTCCTTATAAAGTTGCCCAGTATCAAAAAGGGAGCTCTTTTAATTCCTAGGTTGCTGGGCATCCTAGGTCAGTTTTCAATTAATACAGTTTCCAATACGACAGGAAGGCATCTTTACCAAATTTGAGGTCCTGTTTTGTTCAGATCTCGAAGGGCAAAAATGAGACAAGCCAGGAAGAGCAGTCGAAACAAATATGCATGCGTATAAGGGAAGTGCCGACCACCTCATATCTCGCCCTGGCGGCCCCAGCGTACTTCAAAACTGGTAGCAGATGGAACCCTAAACCCTCTAAGCCCTAAGCCCTAAACCCTCTAAATCCTAGAAACCCTTTATAAACCCTAAACCTTCTAAGCCCTACACCCTTTGAGCCCTAAACCCTCCTTTAAACCCCAACTCTTTAAACCCTAAACCCCAAAAGGCCAACGAGACTCCTCCAGGAGTTCCTAGGCGAGGCGCAGAAGAAACAGCGCCTGAAACATCGAGAAGACGCCTTGGCGGAGATCCTCCTGAAGGATTTCCCTAGGGATCTGAGGACTCACTGTATAGGGTTCCTTTAAAGGGATCTATAAGGGAATAGGGTTTAGGGATCTAAGGACTCATATATTAAGGCTTTTGGGCCCAAAGACCATACTATGTATGGCTTTTGGGCTATTTTGATCCCTAGGTTTTGGGTTTAGGGTTTAGGCTTGTTCAAGGATTAGGGACGCCTTGGCGGAGATCCTCCTGAAAGATTTGGGTTTAGGTTTAGGCGTGTTGAGGGATTAGGGACGCCTTGGCGCAGATCCTCCTGAAGGATTTGCTGGCCTTGCTTTTGGTTTTTCGTGGTTTTGCAGATGTTCTGGACGTTGTGAGGATGTTCTGCAGGCTTCAGCAGTTTCTTGCAGTTTAAGGATTTCTGGTTTTTCGGTGTTTGGGAGTCTGAGGTCCTTTCTTCTGGTTGTTTCAGAGTTTTATAAGGGTTTCGGGTTCAGAAAGAATCCATGGGATTGTAGTATATTTCAACGTTTAGGACGATTTTTTCGGAGAGCCCTCCTTCCCGTCCCCCGCCGAGGCCTCAGTACGGTTTTGACAGGCAGTGCCTCTAGAGACGTGTGGCTTCTGGATTTAAGGTTCAGGGTTCAGGTTTCAACTGCGTCTGATTGATCTCGGACCGGTGATGGTATGAAATGCCGCGATACCTAGTGGCTCCATGGTAGTTCCTTTTGGGGGCTCATATGTAGAATCCTATAAGGTAATCCTCAAAAGGAACTACTATGGAGCCTTTGGGTAAGGTCTTTACATGGTTCTGTGGTTCAGGGTATTTTGCCGACTACGGGCTGATGAGGGTTTCAGGGTAGGCTCCAGTGGCGTGCACGTAGTGGTGAAGGATGCTAACTGCTAAATGCTACTACGGCAATCGAGAGTAGCTTCGAAGCAGGGTATCGAATCCTTAGCCTTCTGGGGATAAAAGTCTTCCACCAAGAGTAAAGCCTTAAATCCAAAAGATCAGTCAACCTTTAAGACCTCGCAAAGATCATCCTTTCCTGGCCAGGGAACAGGGCACTCCGGCGAACATGGTTGAGCCAGACTTTCCCTTTACCACTCTCCAGATCCCCTTAGAAGGGTCAACATGTCTGCATCCTAGACAGCTTATCCTAAAGTCTGAACCCTGTCCAGACCGTAGGCCCTAAACCCCGACACCCCCAAAAAACCTAAGACTCCCCCAGCCCAATACAGACAGGCTACTAACTTGAGGAATACTTTTTCTGCAGATGTCTTGCAGATGTGTTTGCTGTTCGGTTTTTGGGTTGCAAACTTCGGGCGGCTTGCTGCGTTATCGGCTTCCAAGGTCTAGGACGGGGGTTTATGGTCTGCAAAAACAGCTTGTGGCTTGGAGTCCTTGCACAGGACTCCTGGAAGCATGCTCAATCTTTGACATTGCTACTGCTCGTGGAAGGTCCAAGTTTGTTGGCCCAGCTGGCGGGCTGTAGTGAGGCGTTCTTGCGGACTAAAAGCTCGACACGAGGAATGTCGCCGTCACATGGGGGGTTTCTTGTAGTGTAACATGCATGAGACCAGCTGCACCAGCTCGTGCACCTTTTTGCGATAATCTTAAATGGCTAAGCGCCAGCAAGCCAGCACAGCTCTAAAATCCAGTCATGACCTAAAGGAGGCCGGAGGGCCATTGCGTAATTCCGCAGAGTCGCAGACCTTTTCTTCACTTGCTGCCCATGGCCTTTGAAAATCATCGCATGGACAGCACGGTCGCTACTTGGCATGACAGGGCTTTCTTACATGCATAAACTGGTATCCAGCTCCAGTTCTGTCAGCCCCCGCATTTGTAAAGCTTTTGTTTTCCGATTCGGGTCCCTTTGCCGACTGCGATTAGAAGAGACTTGTATGCTTTCGGGTACCCTCCGGAAGTCAAAAAATCGCGGAACCCTCCGCAGCAAGGGATTTCAGCTGAGTTTTGTCTTCTGTCTGCTAGCTTCGCAGGCCCTAAACCCTAAACCCTAAACTCTAAACCTGGGACTCATTGCTGGAACACGGGCCTGCTTCGTGTGAGTGTGCGAGTGGAAACAGCAAGGAGTTCTTAAGGCTCCCTCTTTAGATAAGCCTGTATTCATGGTAGTGCGGTTCTGAGGTAAGGGGCCTTTGAGAATGACGTTGTTATGAGCAACCTGAAAGGAAAGCCTAACTTGCAACAACTCTCCTTCCCCCCTTCAAAGCTCCCCTCTACCCTGTGAGAGGCGGGAGAAATGAGCCTGGCACACCGAGGCCTCAAGAAGGAGAATGCGTGAGGGCATCGCCGCAGCTTGCCTTGATCTGGGGCGTTCGAAGCACTGGGGGAAATTTTATGCAGGGGTCCTTATACCACGGAAGGACGAAAGTTTGAGCCACTGGGGAGCTTCATCGCATGCCGCGGGTAGAGTCTGTGAAGGACCGCGGCCCTCCATCGGCCAAGTCCTATTAAATCGGTTTGGCGTTTCGGGTGGGTTTAGGGTTGAGGGTTTGGGGTTCTGGTCAAGATGATTGGGGTCTTAAACTGGCTAGACTTGAGTCCAGTGGCAAAAAGGGATAAGCCTGAGCTCCAAGCCCCAATCCTGCAACTTGCGAAGTGCCGGGCTTACGTGAACACTAATAGGCCTTGCGACTCAGACCCAGGCGAGATCCTCACACGGGGTATCACAATTCGAAACTACCTAAATCCCAAGCATGCAGGCTTAGCGATCTCGTCAGTTGGTACTGCAGTCGCATCATCCAGCCTGGTGACCGTACTGAGTTGTTCCTTGTTGACGCTGTGCTACGTTTATAAGAGTCTTGAACTCCACACGGGTCCTCAAGAGCAACGGCGTGTAGTGAGAAGCAAATGCAAACTGCATCATGCGGGCGCCGGTTGCCAATTGGGCGGTAGATTTGCGTTCCTCCTTCTATCACTCAGGTCACTATACCCGTACCACTGCTACGCCTGTGACTACTGCTGACACGACCGCACCAGGATCGAATCCAGAACGACGACGGGTTCTACTACCGCTACCACGGTAAATACTGCTAAGCATGATCACTGCCACCACGGCTTCTTCCACAACCAGTGACTCCCACTGAATTCGTAATGGACTGATTCAGAGCCGATAGGAAACTAGTCACGAGACTGTCCCTATAACATACCACACATCAGAGTGCATATATGTATGCATACATACATATATATATATATCACTTTATACAAGCTTACCTTTAATACTATACTACGTATGCTACCCCGTACCGTGCTGTGGCCCATGCGTAAACAGAAAGAGGTCCGATCTCCCGGCGAGCCGGCTGAGCGAGTGCCATCGCTGCAGGTTAGGGTTTAGGGTTTTGTCTGCGGGAAAGCATATGCGATGCATGAGAGTATAAATCACAACTCTAGCAAATGACAGTATATATATATATATATTATCGTAATATCGTATGGTGAAGTATACCTATATTTCTAACACTTTAGAATCTACCAACGTATCGATCCAGAGCTGAAGCACAGCTATTCGAGGCCTTGCTCTGGGCATAGCTTTGAGATCTGGTACGACGGGGGCATGCTGCTGCACACGCGGGATCGTCTTTTCGCCTGATGTCGACATTCACTTTATTAGGGCTTAAGGCTGAGGGTGTCGGGTAGCTCCCTTCAGTTAGCTTGGTTGCGAATTACTTTTCCGGCTAGGATTTCTGTTTGAATAGGGTTTGTCAGAGACCTAGTGCAAAGTGCTCGCATCTCGAGCGGCTAGGTGCTTGAGGCTTAATCTGCAGCTTCATCTCCTCCATGCTTGTTTGATTCTGCGACAAAACAAGAAGCTGACTCTGTTTTCAGATTGTTGTGGAGATTTTGGGTGCATTGAGGTCAACGACTGCTGAAACACAAGAATATTCTAGTACATTATTAACAATCTAAATTGTGATACTTCATTGTACATGTACATTACCGTGTGTGTATGTGTAGTATTCGTGTGTATATTACATATGTATATATATATATATATGTGTGTGTGTGTGTGTGTGCGTGTGTGTGTGTGTGTGTGTCTGTGTGTGTGTGTGTGTGTTTGTGTGTGTTTATGCATATGATGGCATATTGTGAGCTACCAAGGAGAAGACCCAAGAACCTCAAACAGGTTAAAGAAACCACCGGAAAACCCACGGGTTTAGAGTTGAATAGTTCCCACTGTGGGGCTTCCCAGCTGATGTGGACTTGGGGGTTTCCGAAAATAGGGGACCCTAATATGGTACCCTGAATAGTGGGATCCTTATTATAAGGACCCCAAAATACGGTACCCTCATTTTCGGAAACCCCCATTTGTGCTTGGTACTTCGAGCGGTTTGACGGCTTCCCCTCTCAAAGTGTAAGCCCCGCCTGCCTCCTGGTGGGTCAAAACGACCTCACGCAGAAGAGCCAAGAGACTGTAGAGATAGGCCCTCCTTATTTATACCTAAACCCTAAACCCTCCTTATTTATATATGTATAACATAGTAGAACAGAACAGATCTTACCACACAGCCCTCCTTACTTATATATTTATGTACATCGTAGTATAGGACAGATCTTACCCCACAGGTGCAGCACATCCTCTATGATTCCGTGTCGGATCCCACCGACACCGAGTCCGAACAGGAGATGGTTTCAAAGGCCGAGGCTGGACATGCCTTCATAACTTAGTAGCTGAGCGGATACACTTTACACTTTCTGTGATAATCTCACCCACTATAAAACCAAAAGTGTACACTTTTGGGGCTTATGAACTCAGCATCTAAGATAAGGACCCTTAGGCTAGGTAGGCCTTTGGGATATTTTAGATTCTCCCTTATTGTGCTTAATACGGTCCTCTATTTACGAACATTTTTCAGAGGCTTTAAAGGGCCAACCTAGTAGGGGGGTAGTGGGGAGTGGTTTTAGGGGCCCTAAGACCTATAATAAGGATTTAGTACGGCCTGTCTAAGGAAATATAGTCCCCTACCCCCCGTAGGGGTCCCAATGATGCCTGTGTCTCTTCCTGTACTGGATAGCTCTCAAAATCGTAAACAATATAACGTAGTGCTCGCATGTATCTATACATATGCATATGTGTATATATATATATATACATGTTATGTAACTTGGAAAATATCTTAGAGTATAGCATACCAGAGAATGTACTGCATCATATCCACGACTCTCAGTGTTTAGCATTCGGTTCAGGGACTTGCTGTCGTTGGATTTCGGGTCCTGGCATGGGTCCTAGGGTTTGGCCATGGAAGATTGAGGGGTTACGGGTGACAAAGTCATGTCGGAAGCTGCTATGTTTGGGATGAGTTAGAAGGGGCCCCCACCCTGTAATAGTGGTATAATAGGAATATAATAGGGCCCTAATAAAATCCTTATAGTCACTATTACAGGGTGGGGGCAGCTTCTAAGGGTTTTGGGTTCAGGATTCCGGCTTTAGGGTCTTCGTTTTGGGCTTCGGGTAATGACATGTCTGGCTGCCGTTTCGGAAGGCCAGAAGCTTTCTTCTTCTGAGGGTTCCTTCTAGCTGTCAAAGCCGGGGGAAGCTTGGCAAGACTGCAATGTCACTACGACTGCAGTCATGTAGAGGCGCATCAAACTCGAATAAAGCACGGTGAAAGTGTCGTCCTCCGCATAGGCACGGCGGCAACATTGCTTCCTGCCTTCCGCGGGCTCTGCTGGCCATGGGACTGCTGCCCAATGCTCGGCTGTGCAGAACTTCATGGTTTCGGGTTTAGGGTTCCCAAGAACCTAACAAAGCCAGGGTTTTCCCCACAATCATTGGGTCACAGCCTACTATGTTACAAGGCGTTTGTAGTAAGATTTGGCGATGCTGGCAAGCCCTAAACCCGAGACTGTCCATAGGCACAGCGAAGCTCATGAAAGCTAGGCCTGTCTGAGTGTTCAAGAACATTCAAGAAGGTACAAAGGAGGCAACACTCAAAGTCGCAATTCCAAGAGCTGTATTAACCATTGGTGTTGTCATCGGTACTACTGCTGTTACCATCTGGCGTAATTTTTGCCCAATCTGAACTCCCTTGCACCACGCCGTAATCTGAAGGCCCAACCCCCCTTCCCCCCCTATTTGGGGCTGAAGTGTTCGAGGGCGAAACACCAAAGCCTAAATTTTAAAGCATTGAGCCAAAAGCCCAAACTTCCTCAGACCTAACGAAAGGCTGAGATCGTAACTGACCCCAAAACATCCCTGCATCCACAAATGGTTCCTTGGCCCCCAACTTCCAATAAAACCACGTTGTCCCCCGCACCACCTCACCCAGCGACGAACATTGAGTAGCTGAGGCCGGATGTCGACCTTGCGCATTCTACACACCGCGACCGGGCTGCCGAATCTGGTTGGATGCATCTTTTCCTACTTATAGGAGCCTCTTTGCTGCTCCTACTGCTCTGTTTCTGTTACAATGTCGTTTGCTTTTGCTGAAGACTTGCTGATCTGCGTCCTACGCCCTACGCTGCCCGGGATGACAGCGTCGACGACGACTCTACCCATACTGGTACTGCTACTACTGCTGCTTCCACTGCTTCAACCTGCACGAATTCTGTGTCTGCTGCCTTCTGCTGCCACTATACTGATACTGCCTCTACTACTGCGACGGCTAGGACGGTAAATGCTACCATTGCGAATACCACCGCACTACCTTCGCTACTCCAGCAACAGCAGCTGCTGCTGCTACTACTACGACGACTACTGCTGCTACGGATGCTGCTGCTTGTCCTACTACTACTACTACTACTACTACTACTACTACTACTACTACTACTACTACTACTACTACTACCACTACCACTACTACTACCACTACTACTACTACTACTACTACTACTACTACTACTACTGCTACTGCTACTGCTACTGCTACTGCTACTGCTACTTACTACTTACTACTTACTACTTACTACTTACTACTTACTACTTACTACTTACTACCTACTGCCTACTGCCTACTGCCTACTGCCTACTGCCTACTGCCTACTGCCTACTGCCTACTGCCTACTGCCTACTGCCTACTGCCTACTGCCTACTGCCTACTACCTACTACCTACTACCTACTACCTACTACCTACTACCTACTACCTACCACCTACTACCTACTACTACTACTACTACTACTACTACTACTACTACTACTACTACTACTACTACTACTACTACTACTTCTACTACTACTACTACTGCTACTCCTTCTACTTCTACTGCTACTGCTACTCCTACTCCGACTCCTACTCCTACTGCTACTGGTACTGCTACTGCTACGGCTACTCCTACTCCTACTGCTACTCCTACTCCTACTCCTACTCCTACAACAACAACTACTACTACTACTACTACTGCTACTGCTACTGCCACTGCTACTTCTACTGTTACTGCCACTGCCACTGCCACTGCCACTGCCACTGCCACTGCTACTGCTACTGCTGCTGTTGCTGCTACTGCTACTGCTGCTACTACTACTTCGTTGATTACTACTTCGACTACTACTTCTTCTACCACCACGACCGCTAGATCAACTACAAATAACAGGATTGGCAGTTTCGGGAAATGAATGCATTAGAGCTGGCTCCTAGGCCCGCTTACTGACCAAATCGGAATCCATGTTTTTGTTCGAGTCGATATCTCCCTTTTGCACTTCCAAATAGGGGTTGCCCTGAACTATCTATCGGCTTTAGCAGGGGCCACAAATTCACAATCTAGGGCGCCTGAAGGACAAGTCCAACAAGGCATGCAGCTGTGAAGTCCGAGAGCCGTGCCATGCGCAGAGCCTGATACCTCCCCCCTGTGGACATATGAGCAGACCCTGCTTTTCTGGCTTAGCTGAGAGCCCTACGCCTAAAGCGTGGGCTCAGACTCCTGTGTTGTCTGACGTGACAAGGTCACTTGGATGTCGCAACGGGACCGACTCTTCGCATGCATTGCTGTGTCTTGTAGGGATCAAGATGAATGCATTTCAACCAGGGCTTAGTATAGGGGCCTGAATAATTACCAACACCATGCTAGGGGTTCCAATTGTAGTTGCATTTCATTACAGCATAAAACCGAAAACATGCTCTACTAGCCTCTGTATCAGGGCGCAGGTTTTTGGGTCGAGGGTCGAGGACAGACGCGCGACAGGTGGCTCAACCTGGAGAAGGCCTGCACGACCGAACTTTGCACAACGATTCTCTAGGAGACCCATCCTTTCGCAAGACTGTGTACCTAGTGGCTCCATAGTAGTTCCTTTTGGGGTTCATATGTCGAATCCTATAAGGTAATCCTCAAAAGGAACTACTATGGAGCCTTTGGTTAGAGGCTTTAATTGCACATTCTTGCTTTCCATGCCCGCCCACCTGTAAATCATGAACTCCGCCTCCATGGAATGGCTGAGGCGTGCAATTTTTGCCACTACGACCACAGTCCAGAAGAGCGCCAGCTACCAAAGCCGTCGTCGCGGCCTGCCAAGGGCAAGCGTGACAAGGAGCTTCAGCGCAAGCCAAGCTAATTTGCGCGAAGCCATTAAACCCTATATATTCTATGCGGTGACCTCAAACCCTAAACCTGTAGGCAAGCACTATCAAGTACAATGAACCTACAGCCCATTCTTCCCAGGACAAAAGAAGGATAGCCGCCCGAGCCTTACCGCGCCAAGGCTCTAAGAGCCTTAGCGAGTTGTTGCTGGAGGGTTGTTAGGAGTGCAAGGGTAGGCAGTGTTAGGGCTTAGGGTCCAAGCCCACGCTGAACAAGGGGTAGGGGCATGTAGGGTTTAAGTTTCAAGTTGGGTTGAGGGTTCGAGTGTTTAGTCCAGGCCTTGCGCTGTAGCGTGGCATGGTGTCATGCTCGCATTGCTGCTGGAAAAGGCTTGTTGAGGCATACTTGCTTCAGGAGCAACATTCTAGCTTTGGGGTACGACTTACTAGTTCTCCGATACTAAACATGTAAGCAACAAGGTGCAAACAATTATGGCTCATTTTGCGAGCTTCTACCATGTTTTGGTTGATCGGGGAAGTGAGACCGGTGGTCAGGGTTTACTTTGTCCGGGCCAGGGTTTAGCGCTTGGTGTTTACGCTATATTGCATCCAAATGCGCAAGACGCAGTCCAAACCTGATGTGTCCGAGTGGCGCAGTCTGAAAGCTGCTTCTCACAGCAGAGATGTCAACACGAGTAGCAGTGCCCTCCATATCATGTCATACTGCTATCGACGATGTCAGGGATCGTTTCCCTAGACCATCGGAAGACTAGCCGCGAGCCATAGTGATCAACCACAGTAGTCGCAATGTTCGAGATGCGGATGGGGGTGGCCAGTTTCGTAATGATAGGTCTTGAGGATGAGCATCACCACCGTGCAACTATTGTCAAACTGACAGAGCCGAAAGATTGCTATTCCTCGTTTTCATCAGCACCAAGAAGTTTGTGGGTCGGTGCTGAAGCTTGGCTCAGGACCTTCTTACAGGATTACAAGATCAGATCCCATATCCCCCGTCATGGCACCCGAAGCAGGCTACTGCACCTGGAGCTCCATCAATTGCTACCCTAATTGCACTTGACACCAGTCCGGCACAAAGTGAAACCATGCCACGCCGAAGTCCTGGAGTTTAGCCAAGAAGTTGGTAAGCTAGCGACAAGGCAGAACAGAATGAGATTACCAGCAAGACTTACATACATATCAAGCCGCAAAATGCAATTCAGCAGACTTGCACCGAAGAGACACCAAGCAAAACGGAAGCACTACATCCAGGAGCACATCAATATATCGCCCTCATCCATCGCATGGCTGCGCCCGAGCCACCTTCTCCGGAGACACCGGACCATCGACCCAAAACTCCGCGTGGAGAGCCCCGGATATCGGAGGCACGCAAAATCCAGCAACAGCAATTCGCAAGAGGTTTGAATGAAGTGGGAGTTTCCGAAAATTAGGGCCACCTTATTTTGGGGTCATTATAATAAGGATCCTACTATTCAGGGCACTATGTTAGGGTCCTCTATTTTCGGAAATTCCTGAGTATCTCAGAGGAGTCTGATTTCTTTTGCACCTGAAGCTTCTGGACTCCTGGGTGAGCTGCAGTCTTGCTTGGAGGCCCAGAGGACTTAGTAAGTCGGTTATAAGTAGGGTTATACTTGGGGTAACTCCATTTAGTGTACTTATAACTCTACTTATAACCTACTTACTAAGTCCCCTGGGCCTCTAAGTATGTTGGTGTAGGCGCGGGGCTCACAAGGCCAAAGTTCGAGACAGTTTCAGGGCTCAAGAGCTTTGGAGTCTCAGTGAAGGCAGATGTAGGACATAAGACTTTCTGGGATTATCAGCTGGGGGCTGTTTCAGGACTCATGAAGATGTTAGAGAAGAGCTTTTTTGGGGGGGAATATCTTAAGTGGCATCCTGTGGTACATCTTGTGCTGTCGCCTTGTATTCTGAGACGTTGTGCTTTGGTTCGGTGCTGCTGGTGGGTGGCACGGTTTAGTTGCATTGTGCTATGCCCGACCTATCTATCATGCAATAGCTTACAACTTCAACCCTGGATCCCTATACCCTAAACTCCTAAGCTCTACAAGCCTAGAGCCCAAGCCTGACTTCCGTGCCAGATCAGAGAAGACTCGAAGCAGCATGCGGCCGGAGGCGTCATGGGACATTCTTGGATTGGGACCCTGATCCCTAAACCCAAAAAGTCTACCTACCATGTAAAAGCCTTCCAATGCTCGCTTCGCATGAAGTTGGTGTTTTTGATATTGCTAATTATTGTTCCATGGGCCACTGCTTACTGGAGTGAAGTGAGCATGCACTTAGTTCAGAGTGTTTCATGCCGACCCCGCACCGAGAACCTCGCCTGGCATGTCCGAGTTGTGAGAGCGTAAACCCCCGAATCTTTTTTCTTGTACACTCTACAGTACCCCCCCCTGCTGCTGCTGCTGCTGCTGCTGCTGTGGTTTTTCTGTTTGTCTCGTCCGATTTAGGATTTCCTTCGCGGTGCCTTCTTTGCTGGGAGGCTGCAGTGATAGCGATCCTGATCGTCAAAGGGCCCTCCTTATTGAACAGAATCCTATGATGATTGAAAGCAGACGTGTTTCATTACTCGTTCTGCCGTGCCAATTGCCTGGTTTCTTTCCTGCTCTTCTTAAAATCGGTGTCTCGTAGCTTCAGAGCTTCAAAAGCTACGACACCTGCATAACCTACTGCACGATTGCTTGGAGCACAACGAGCAGAAGTGCCATGAAGTACCACGGGAAGTTCTGCCATCCCGGCATGGGACTTTGGAAGCAAGCGGCTTCGTTTGAACGCTGCGGTCAACCTAAACCCTACATCGTCCCCAGAAATTCGAAATGTCCACGCCCAAACCCTGTCATGATGACGAAACATCCGCAAGAAGGTGGGTCCAGACTGAATTGGTTTCGGTTCATTCTTCCCGTCTCTAGGCGACGACATCCCACAGCTGAAGGACGACAAGCCATCTTGCTGTGCCAGGCATCAAATTTGACTGTGAGCTACACTTTGGGTGCCGGGGAACGCGTGCCAGGTCATTGGGTCGACTACTGGCATGATTGCAGGTTTCATAGGGACCCTTAGGGGGGTAGGGGTAGGGGACTATACTTCCTTAAACAAGAGGCTCTTCGATTGATGAAATAAACGGCCAACCTAGTATGGCTGCTGGGTTGGCACATTTAGTATAGGGGCCTAAATATTTGCCAATACCAGTCTGGGGTTCCTTATTGTAACTATCGTATACTATGCCCCAAAACCCTATTCTAATTATTAAGGCCAATACAGTAGTCAGCTTCACCGGAGCTTCCACCCGGGCCCCTGCAAAATGCGAACACCGATCGAATAAGGAGACTAGGCTCAATTGCAATCGCGTATGTGCGTTGTGTAGCATCTGAGAAGTCCAGCATCAAACGCGAAAACTAGCACAAGGCCTCCGGAATTCTTTCAGTTCAGATTTGCGGCGTTGAAACCTTCCTTAAACAACCAGAACCTGCATTTTCGTAGCTCCTTGTTATAAACCCTAAAGTGGGATTTATAGGGACGCTACAAAAAGAGTGGGTTTCGGTAGGTTAAGGTTGAGCTGAAAAAAGTAGGTTTCGGTAGGTTAAGGTTTTGCGTAAGACATCCTAAACCCGGATCCCTCGACCGCCTGAGCCCGAAGCCAAGCCCCCAATCTCTGAATCAGGAGCATCTTTTTCCTATGCAATGTAAAAAGCTTGGAAAATTACCAACGTTAATCCTTAGGGTTCCTTGTTATACCTGCACTTTCAGGAGCCCAAACCCTATTCTAAGTATTAAGGCCCCTATATCATAGTAATTACCCTTATAGATCCCTTATAGGAATCCTTAAAGGACCGTTTTCAAGGAACCCTATTCTACTTATTAAGGCCCCTACACTACGTCCTTGCTGGATGTGGGGATTTCCAGGCTTGCGGATGTCGGAAATCGGTTGGAAAGATGGCTGGACCGACGCTGTCCTGATTAATAAAGAGGCCTCAACAACTAGAATTGGGTTTTGGTGTATATTATACTATAGTCATAATAAGGAGCCCCCAGACTAGTATTGGTAGTTAATTATCTAGGCCTCTACATCAGAGCAGTCAAGATTCGCGGTTTTTCCGTGCAGCCGTGCTTTTGTTTTGGGAAAATGAATGTAGGGGTGATCATCTGGTTTTTCTGCGGCAAAGCTATGATCGTGACAGAGAGTTAGTGTGATCATATGGGTTTTCGAGATGTCTCAACCATGCTGCTGTAAATTCCCCTATAGCTTGCCGCAGCACAGGAGCTCGCAACGTGCGAGTCCCGAATGGCTTGCAGGAAAGCATGACCTCTTGTTATCCGTTGTCTCTTGCTAAGACTTGCTTGAACCTCCTTGCCCATGTCTGAGACAATTTTCTCGTAGAAGCTTCTACAAGTCTCCCAGCATCCTTCGAGCGTCCTCAGTCTTGGCAAGTTTTTTTCCTTTAAGGGTCCATGGACGCACATTATGCACACCAAACCGCAAATAGAAGATGAGTCAAGCTGTGAATCAGTGAAGCTACAAGAAACGTAGGGTGCGTCCGGTGACCTCCACAGTATTTTCCGGCGCCCAGACCCTCCCCGAGCCTGGTTGAAAGAACTCTGACATCCTTCACCCTAGTGTGCCGGACATTCAAAGAGAAAGTCTGACGGATACACCCATATAGAGCCTAAGCCCTGATCCGGAACGCGATACCATGGTTTCACAGGACTGGGGCTCTTGGCATTTGGCATGTACTTCGTTGTACGACTTGGGGGTTTAAGGGGCAAAGGACTTCAGTGTCCGAAACGGGGTCTTAACATGCAAGCTTCTGCTTCAGGTTTTATGTCGACCTCTCAAGACTGGCACCCTACTTCCATTGAATGACCCCCTGGCAGAGCTAGCTAGCTCCCAAAGTCCTAAAACCTAAACTAGTTGGTAAGGGAAGGTCCTTCAGAATGATAGCAGTGCGACGGTTCCGGATGACTCAGGCTCGAAACTTCAGTTACCCAGACAGCCCAGTACCCTTCAATTAAGGAATACAGCTTAAATCATATTAACTTGAATCCCCTTATAATTTAAGGTATATTCCTTAATTAAAGGGGTATTGGGCTCTCTGGGTAATACTGTAAAGCCCGAGTCCGATCAAAAGTTCTACCAGTAAGGGCATTCCCGCTAGGATGGCAGTTTCGGAAAATTAGGGTGTACCTTATTTCGGGGTCGTTATCATAAGGATCCTACTATTTGGGGTACCCTATTAGGGTCCCCTATTCTCGGAAGCTCCCAGATCTTTCAAAGGAAAGCCATGATAGAACACCGCTGAGTTTGCTCGAGAATTGCTCCAAGCCATCCGAACAACCATAGACGTCTGATTTAGGGTTTAGGGTAGAGTACAATGCTGTTTCTCAGGGTCCTGGTCATACCTATCCCCCAAGCCCATTTTGTAATTGCCAATAGTGCTCCATCCATGAACCTTCAAGCTGGCACGGTTTTACAGAACCCACATGGCGGTCTTGTGAGGCACCAAGACATGCCTTGCGCAATCAGTCTAAAAACATGTTGCAGCATGTCTTCCCAACGATAAACGCAGATGGAGTCCAACTGCTTTCCTAAACAATCTCCGACTAAACCCTGAGCACTACGCCACTATACACCTAAATCCTGAACACTATAAAACCCGTAAAACCTTGAATACACCTAGACCCCAAACCCCTAAAGCCCTGAAGCAAAATCTACAACCGAACCCTAAAACCCTTAGAGTGTGAGTGTCAAAAAAGCCCTGAAACCCTGAAAGAAGATAAGGAGTGCCCTGCCTCCCTGGCATTCCGCCTCCGACCTGTCTTCGGCGGAACGGCTGCCTCTATCGCTGTTGCGAGGCAGAGTTCAGGGTACAGGGTTTGCCAGGACCTTCCTTTTCAGTGCACCATAATATAGCCCTCTGGTCCTTGGTGTTGGATGTTTAGGGTCTATTGGCGAGTTTAGGTGGGGGGCTGTAGGGGTTGGCTTCCAGGGCTTTGGTCTGGGGTCTCGGGGGCAAAACTGCTTGAGGTGTTTCGGGCTTAGAGTCTAGGGTAGGTTCTAGCTTACGTATGTAATACTTAGTGCTGAGGGTTGGGGGGTTATTTTGGGGTTGCAGGGTTTGGGATTCAGCTGCAGCGCTGCCCTTGTACACGGGTTGGGACTGAGGGTTGGGGTGGCTGCGCAGGCGGGCTTAACGTGTCGATGCCTGCGATTGGACATCGCACATCCGAAATCCGAAGACCTTAAGGCATGACCGAATCGAGAAGCGTGTCGAAACCATCCCTCAGGCGACCTGTGTGGGGGCCTTAATAGTTAGAATAGGGTTTTGGGGCCCAATATACTACAAATATAGTAAGGAGCCCACCCAGAATTTTATAGGTAAGTATGTCAGGCCCCTACAGTACCGTGTCTCGAGATCCTTAGACTACAGGAGGCCCTTCCACTCGGAGCCATAACGGAGCCTGTTTTCGAACGGAAAGACTTTGCCGGACAGGTTGGCCTCAGGCTGTGGAACATGTCGAACCGCGAACATGGACTATATGCTTAAAACCCTGACGTTTTAGCGTTTTTTTATACACGGTTCCCTAGTACTTCTATGAGAGTTTCTCTAAGGGATTCAGGGTATGTGTAGGGGTTTAAGGGTTTTGGGCTTCGAAGAAAGGTTTAGGGAAAGCAGCAGAATCCCAAAACCTTGAAACCGTCCCTGAACACTGAACCCTCGAGTCTCTTCGCAAGATCCTAAGCCCTCAACTGATTTAGGGTTGAACGGTATGCTGTGTGAGGCTTCAGACCTGCTTTTATTTGGGGGACCTAGCACAGGACGTTGATTTTGGGAACTACCCCTGTCGCAGAGATGAGACAGTCGATCAAGCTGCAGTGCTCACCAGTCACTGCATTCTCGAGCCGTATTCCGACACTCTTTTGTAGGCCGGTAGAGGAGTCAGGCTCGGGGCTGGGTTCACCATTTGCGTTTGATGTGTGAAATATCTCAACATCTCGTGGATTGAGGAGGCGCTACAAAGCCGAAGTAACCCTAAACCCTAAACCCTAAGCGACCCCATAACCCGGACCCTAACGGCACAGACCCCCGAAACCCCAAGCTTGCACTCATCCGTGGAGGCAAACAGCGGCTGCTTCTGTATTGGCAGCCACCTGCCTCGAAGCAACAAAGTCACGACAGACCCCGGGACCCCACTTGCTACAACGACAACGCGGAACGTAATGACGTAATATTCTACTGGTCTGAACAAAAAGATTGTCCCTAGGAACCCGGACAATCAGCCACTGCCTTTCCACCGTGATTTCCACCTTGATCATGTCGTTGCAGTTCAATATATGCAGACTGTTTGTTAGGCTTAGCTTCCTGCTTGTTTACAGTCCCTATAAAAAGATAGCATCTAGGTCCGCCTATACCCTATTCTGAGGTTTGATGTAAATCGCTATACCCCGGTACCACCAAGCAGCGCGAAAGTGAACCAAGCATGAAGCCCTAAACATCCAATCCTAAAAGCGGCAGACATCCCCAAGCATCCCAAAAACCCAAACGCCGAAGGGAATCCTCCGATAAGCTTGGAACGATACAGAGAAGATTAGCATGGCGTTCGGACTTCTTACCAGAAGGGTGGGTCCCTTTAATAAAAGGGACCCTTAAACAGGTTCTATATAGGGGCTCCTATCAGGATACTAGAGTATGGGGCCGAAATAGTTACCTATACTATTCTGGTGGTTTCTGATTATAAGTATCGTATAACAGACCCGAAAACCGTATCCTAATTATTTTATGGCCCCTATAGTATGGGGTTGAAGTGGGTAAGGTCTGTGGCGGAGGGGTTCAATTTGGCATGTGTCGGGGGTCTGTTGGTGTTGGAATCGCGGGCTTAGCTGAGGTCTACGGCTTCGGTCTCTTGGTGTAGGCTTCTTAGAGACTCCAATCCCTTGCATTAAGGGTTACGGCTTCGTTGAGTGCTTACGTTTACTGCCTATGCTCCAGACTTTTCGTGTGAATTGTTTTGTGGTTTTTTGCTATACTTATAACAAGGACTATATTAAAAGATCCCGCGACTCAGGGTTTGGGGTTTAGCGAATGGAGGGCTAGAGAAGTAGCATCTTTCATGACCTTCTGGCAAGCTTTTAGTCACAGGGACCCTTAAAAGAGGAATGGGAGGGGCCTTGATGCCCATAATGAGGACCCAATAAGGCCTATATAAGGAAAAGTGGTCCCCTACCCCCCTCCCCCTATCCCTCTAAGGGTCCCTATGATTCAGTGGAGAAGGCCCTCAACCTAAACCACTGACCCAAACCCTAAACCTTACAAAATGCTGAGCCCAAAGCCCAGAGACTCCAATATCCCTTAATTAAGGAATATATACCTTAAATCATATTAAGGATCCTACTATAATTTAAGGCTTATTCTTTAATTAAGGGATATTGGAGTCTCTGGGAAGCCCAGGATCCTTTACCGTAACTAAAGCAAAGGCCCGAAGTCTATGCGTCTTTCTCACTTTACCCAGAACCCACTGCAAAGACTTTCAAGCCAACTCCCTCTCAAGCATGAATGCCTGTCCCAGGAAGAGGCATGGCAGTCTTCGGAAACTTCAGGACTCGCCGGGGCATGCTTCAGACTTTAGGGCTCCTCAAAGCTGTGGCCTTGTCGGCTCATAGTACTTCTCGCCTGGGGGGACTGCAGTTTTGTGGCACCTTGTGGCTTCTATGTGCCCTTTATGGACCGATTGTGCTGCATGCTGTCAGGAAGCTATTCTTGCTGATCTCCCTCATGCTCTCAGTGCAGCTCGGAACTAGAGTTCCGGCAGTGAGGCCGTGTAGCCTTGCCCTGCTTGGTGCCCTGCGCATGTTTCGTAAACCTCACCGACAAATCTGAAACTAAGAAACTTTAAACGGCAATCTTGCCTCTCTCCCGCATTGTATGGAGTCTTCCTGCCCATGGTTCAGCCAGCAGATGAGTCAAAATCCGCATTTTCCGGTCCGTAGGTCCGTCGGTTAGAGAGTGTGGATGTCGCATACTGGCCATACTACCGCAGAGGCCCCCATAGTAGTTCCTTTTTGGGGATTACCCTATAGGATTCTAAACATGAACTACCATGAAGCCTCTAGGTAGCTTCATTCTGCATCAGGATCCCAGCGCTCCACCCTAAACCCACGAGCTCCTCAACAGGGTTTAGGGTTTAGGGTTTAGGGTTTAGGGTTTAGGGACCTTCCTGGACAGGCCTACGCCTCAAGAAGGGCGGCCCGACAGACCCCTAATCCCTAGTCCCAAGACCTCTAATGTAGAAACCTGGTTAAGAAATCCTAGGCCTATAACCCCCCCCCAAATAATAGGATTCATATAAGGAACCCTAATAAAGGCCCAGGGTTTCTTAATCAGGTTCCTACATCAACCCTAAATCCACAAACCTCGCCTGGATTGTCCGAGTGTGAGCGCCGAAATCCACAAACCCTCAAACCCCAGAGCCTCAAGCAAATGGCACTCTCAAGGGGAAAAGATTGAAGACATTGGTTCCGCCGTACCATGTTGAGACATTTGCTTCTGAGTGAGCGTGGAACAATCCTGCACCCTTTGTTCAAGGGTTCAGGCTCTACATCCTTCTCCAGTTTGTTTAAATTTCAATATAGTAAGGTTAGGATCTTGCAGATTTGTTGTCTAGGCTCCGTAGACGCCGCAACATAAACCCTCGATCAAAATCCTGATGCGGCCGCCTAGGATCGGAGTCCTGTTGCGAGGGCTCCCCGCTGCGGCTCTGTCTACAGAACGAGGCAACCGTCGTAGGAGGGGGAGGGGGGATGACAGCATGGGTTGGGGCTTGGTGCCCTAAACCCTAAACCCTAAACCCTAATCCCTAAACCCTAAACCCTAAACCCTAATCCCTAAACCCTAAACCCTTAACCTTAAACCCTAATCCCTAAACCCTAAACCCTAAACCCTGTATTCGGCGTGTTGAACAGGGGCCTGGAGATGAAGGTATATGGGAGCTTCCGAAAATTAGGGGTACCATATTTTGGGGTCCTTATCATAAGGATCCTACTACTTGGGTACTATAGTAGGGTCCCCTATTTTCGGAAACACCCATATAGGGCATTGGTTAGTTGAAGAGGGTCAGGGAGATAAGGTATGATACGCACTATGCGGAATTTTGCGCCCCCCCCCCTCCCTCCCAGGACGAATGACTGGGGCACCCTGATGGCTCGACCAGCGTACAGAACCCCTTCAAACCGACTCCCGGAACTGTCACTCATCTGTCACAACATGCAACGGCAAGTACCACTACTACTGCTACTGCTGTTCCTGGTCCTACTCCGAGTTCTGCTGCTATTCTGGTCCTACTCCTACTGTTACTCCGAGGACGACTGCTGCGGCGACGAACTGCGACTGCAATCTGCTGTTAGTTCTGTAAACTCTTGCATAGTATACGGCCCTTAATAAGCAAAATATGGCTTTGGGGCATATTTTGGTATAAACATAGTCAGGAACCGCCAAAACACTGTGGGTAACGTGATTTGGGCTCTGGTTCCCCCTGCTGCTGCGGCTGCTGCCTCTTCTCGCGAGCTCACGGTTTAGAGGTTGAGGGTTCGCGTTTGGTTCAGAGTTCGTCTTCTTGACAGCCTAAAGTCTGGGGCTTCGGATTTGTGATGCATGTTTGCGACTAGAGGTTTGGATTCCGAGGATACGGCCAGCAATGCTAAATGCCATTTCAGCAACCGCATGCAGGGGTGGTCGTTGTGTTACAAGCCTCCAGCCGGCTTGCAGGTAACTTGCACCAATGGCCTTGGGCCCATGGTCGCTATACGTGCCTCCAGCTTCTGTTTTGCAACGAGCGGGGCACCCTGCATAGTACATCACTGGCTTCAGAAACGGATGATGGTAGTTCACATGAAGAACCCGCTATTCCAAAGCTCTTGTGTTGCGTTTCCCCACCCGTCAACCCCAGACCGCAAGACGCCAAATTTTCCAACTGCAAAGCCGAACCGCAGGCCCTAGGCCCTGTACTCCCTGAGACTTAACCCCGAAGTAGTGTAGCTACCGAGAGGCTCCAGAGCAGTTCCTTTTTGTGGTTGATATTTAGAACCCCACCCTTCCAGGATAGTTTAAAGGTTTCGAAATCTAACGGTAGGGTTTCAGCGTGTAGGGCTAATGCAGAGCAATGCTCTTCTGCGAAGAGTCTCTTGCTTGCCTTTGGTTAGTAGGGAATGGAGGAATGGGGTACAATGATAACTACGATTACTACCATTCCTTCATTCCCTACTAACAAAAAAAGGTAAGCTTGGAAGAGGCCTGTGTTTGTTTTGCCATGCATTCAACGAAAGCCTCCTTGACCAATGTAGAAGAGCTGCAGCTAGAATTGCACTGGCCACTGTCGGAGCGCTGACGAGTCACTTCGATTTTATTTTCCGAAAGGAACACTAGTTAAGCCGGAAGTCCCAACGTATCAGGTCCGACATATGCCGTGACATCGAGGCAGGGTATCGAACTTATACGGTTCTTATCAGGGCCTCAATGTGAAAGACAAACGCACGATCCTATATACCAGTTTTGGAGTATGAATCCCTGTAAGGCGGATCCCACTTTCACTTTTGAGATCTTTGAGTATGCGTGCTTTTTGGCCCGACTCTTCGAATGTATACGATATGCGTCGAGCTGCGCTAGGGCTGCATTGCGGAAAGTTGCGCCTACTTCCTGAATTAGCTGCATTCGTACATCAGACAGGCCATACCATATGTCTTTTCTTCGTTGGGTTCAGTCCAGGATTGAAGACGCTGCTTTACTAGATGTCTGCTTCCCATCCCGAGTAGTCTGCGTACTTGCATCAAGGGTCCTACTGTGCGCGGCATACTGTAATCGTTCCTAGGTGCAGAATACTGCGAAGGAGGTGTCGGTTTGGATGTTTCTGCACTCTTGAAACTCTGGAACGCAGTCAGGGCCAACGCAGCCCCCAGGAGCCTGTTACTAGTGGCGATCGGTACTCATTCAAGGGCGGGGAGTCCGGATACTTAAACCTGACAGTGGTTCTGTAGGCTACGAACCCCGAAGCTTCATATGGGTGGTTGTCAAAATTATGGTCCCCTTGTGGGGTCCCTATTATTATACGGCACCTATTATCTAGGGTACCCCAAAAGGGACCATAATTTTGACAACCACCCAAATCCAAGGGCGGCAAAGGGAGTTGAGTTTGAACTCGGAGTCCTCTCCTGTTTCGGGATTAAAGCGGCTGTTCTTAGAAGGACCTTCTACCCGAAACCCCCCTAAACCCTATCATACCCTAAAGCCCTAAAACCTACTGTAAGCCCTAGAAGCCCGAGACCCCTAAACCCCCTAAACCCCCTAAAACCTAGAAGCCCTAAACCCCTAATCCCTATAAGCCCTAGACCCCTAACCCCCCTAAACCCTAGAAGCCCTAAACCCCCCAAGCCCTATAAGCCCTAAACCCCCAAACCCTAAAGCCTATTATGAGCTCTGAACCCCTGACCCCCAAACCCTATTATAAGCTCTGAACCCTGGAAGCCCTAAACCCTATAAACCCCCTAAACCCTAGAAGCCCTTACCCCCTAAACCCTAACCCCTATAAACCCTAAACCCTATTATACCCTAAACGCCTAAATCCCTAAACCATTAACCCAAGAAGCCCTAAACCCCTCAAAAACCCTATTCTAAGCCTTGAACCCTAAAGCCCTAGAAGGCCTAAACCCCTAAACCCCCAGCCCTGAACCCTAAATCATAAACCCTAGAAGCCCTAAACCCCTGTAAACACCATTAATATCATAACCCCTAAACCTCTAAACCCCCTAAACCCCAAGCCCTGAACCATAAACCCTAGAAGCCCTAAACCCAAAGGGGAAAAATCAAGTCCTGAACTCAGAGGCCGACGTCTACATTGGCCTCGAGGCACTCCTCGTGGAGAGCCCGAAGTACCGGATTTACAAGGCGCCAAAAGTGGGAGAGGGTTTGCGGTTTAGGGCTTTAGGAGTTTAGGGCTTTAGGGGTTAAGGGATTTAGGGCTTTAGGGGTTTAGGAGTTTAGGGCTTTAGGGGTTTAGGAGTTTAGGGATTTCGGGATTTAGGGCTTTAGGGGTTTAGGGCGCCTAAGGAGGCCTTGTTTCGATCAGGAGCTCCGACTACGGGTTTTGGGCTTAGGGGTTTAGAGTCTAAGGTTTAGGGTTTATTCACAAGGAGCTAAAAAGAGGAGCCTTGTTTCGATCAGGAAGGACTCGGATTATGGATTTTGGGCTTCCTAAATCAATGCCAACTCTGTTTTGGGGGGTTCCTTATTATGATTATAGTATACTGGGCCCAAAGACCGTATAGTAGCGGCTTAGAGTCTGAGGTTTAGGGGTTTGAGGGTTTCAGGCTTTTGGGTTAAGGGTTTAGTAATTTGGAGTTTAAGGGTTAGGGCTTCGGGCTTTTAGGCTAAGGGTTTAGTAATTTAGAGTTTAAGTAGGTTTAGAGGTTTAGGGTTCATGATTTTTGGTTTGAGGCTTTGGGGTTACTTAAGGGATTAGGGCTTGTGGAGGGTGCGAATACTGAGTAATACTGTACTATCTCTTTTGTTCCTTGTCTACGTCTGTGCCATAGCATAAGCCAAAGCTCTACTCCAATTATGACGTGCCCTCTATTGTGGCGAAGACTGCAAGCATGACTGCAGGCCTGTGGATTCCATAATACGCTCGATCCTGGCCCTATGCAGGGTGTTTTAATTTGCTTACTAACATTTTGAGTTTACAGTTTAGGGTGTAGGGCTTCCCACCATGATTATAGAAACCCAATCATAACGGAGAAAGTAAGGTATATACAAGAATTGCAGTTTAACCTTGTGTTAGAATGGAAGTAGAGGCTCACAAAAGGCTCTTCGTTTGGTACACCAAGTCTCCCTACAGGCAATTCCGTGGAATGCCGACAACTGCATCGCCGATCTGAGCTCGCTGGGTGCTGGAGCATACTGCAACATCTGCCGGGACGCCTCCCGGGGTGGCTCTGGCTGATGTCAGCAAGATGTTCCGGAAGCCTACGGCCCTTGTTTTGTTCTGCATCTCTGTGTGTGTGTGCGCGTGCTTTGGGGGGCGAACAAACATCTCAATAGTTCTCGCAAAAGAGAACCGAAATCGAAGCATGACTATACAATTGGAAATCGACCTGTAGTCTTCCGAGACCAAGCCGTGCGAGGTCTTCATGTCATGTTCCCAAGCCAACATGCTTAGCATTCTCTACGGTGTAAGGTTTACACGGTACAGGGTTGTAGAGGACCCTAAACCGGTTCTAAACCGGTGTTTGGTCCCTGTCAGGCTGTGCTGCCATGGCTTTCATCTCGATAGGATGCAGCCTTTTCAATATTTGGGCCGATGTGCAACGAATGCGAGCTCGGTGCCTGGGCAGCCGTTTTTCGGATTCGGTCTAGGTCTTTAAAGTGTAGAGTTTCAGCGCAGCCTTCGAACGGGATTTGGGTGCTTTCTGTCTGTTTCGACAAGAGAGATTCAGTCTCCGCAGCCCGAGCTGGTCCTTAAGGCTCCATGTGCCTATATACTTAGTATCTACTTATGTCATCTTATGTCGTAAAGAGGTTCTTGTAAAGGGACTTTGATCCTTAGGGGGTAGCATCCCCGGGTCAAAACCAAAAAGTTGCTTCATAAACAGTTCCCAGGTTCCATGATTTAGTCATAGTTTCCCCATAGTGATTAGTCCTTTCCTGGAGTTGTTTGTCTAGATACATCCGAAAAACCAGATATGGATTTAGGTTCAGGGTCGTGGTTTGGTGTACCCCATCGTGAGTACTTCTGCATTGTATGCGCTTGTTCAGCAATACAGAGGCCTACTGTACATGTACCCCAAAAACCCCACACTAATTATCGAGGCCCCTATGTATGTCTCCAGTGCTTCTGGAAGACAGGAAAGGAATGCCACGAGCACGAGCCTTTTGTCTTTGGAAACCTCTCCGGGAGTTGTTGGAGTAGTTTCACATAGCCGACACATCACCACATGCCTCGCCTGAATTGTCCAAGTGTGCGCGCCGATAACCTTGCAGCCGGAAACTCCGTAACCCAAACCTTGCAACCGAAAGTCTAGATGAGCATTTAGGGCTTTGAACTTTGAACCGTGCACCATCGTACACCCCCAAACGCTGGAACCTTAAACCCAAAACCCACCTGAAACTGCAAGGAATGACCACAACTGTATCAAGGCGGTAGCGATCGTCTGGCACCCAGAAGCTGTCTGCTGCTCAATGTTTTCCCTAATTTTGAGGTAGAAATAAGCAGTAGTAGGATCTTGTAAATTCTTTTTGAGCCATTGCATAGTCATGTTATATGGTTTTGCTTAATTTCGAGGTCGGAACAACCAGTAGTAAGATCTTGTAATATTTCTTTTCGCCACTGTATAGTCATATTACATGGCAAAAAATGATCGCCCGAGATCCCACATCAATTTTTCAGGCACATATGTTTATGTGAGAGTCTAACAGTTAGACCCCGGTAATTAGGCACAAATCCAGTTGTAGGATCCTCAACAAGTAGCAGTGACAGGTTCTGGCGCGATAGCTGTAACAATGTACCCCACATTAGAATACTACAGTAATCGTAATGCGATGTACCCCCAGTGCTGGTTTCGGCACCTGTCCTGTTCCGAAACGGTGCTACCGTCTTGTTCAGCGAGGCCATCGCATGAGAATAAGCCCTTGCAAACACCAACAGGCACACTGTGGCCCCGAAGTGCTCGCACCATAAGCCATTGTCAAGGCAGGCCCTACAAGAGACCAAGCCTGGGTTTCAAGACGCCCATGCCGACCCTCAGCCCCAAGCACCGAAGAAAGGCTTGCGATCTGGCATTGCCCTGTCAAGTATGCCCGAGATTCCGTCAGGGCTAAGGTGTCAAAATTTAGGGATTTTGAGTGAGGCATTAGAGCACGTTCTCGCAGGTGAGCAATGTGATCGGTGCTTTGCAGTTGCTGCTGGCAGTGTCCATTTTCCAGCTTCTGCCTGCCGGCCGCAAGAAGGTTCGGACACCGATGACCAGGATGCTATACTTGGCAGCTTTGTAAGGCGTCCCCAGGATCAGTATCTAGAATTTGGGGTGCTGAACTCGCCCTTACTGCATTTGCCTGGAAACCCAATTGACCAGTAACTCTGGGCCCCACATCCTGTCGACATGTCCATGCTGTGGCCAAAGGCACCTACGGTTGATGATATAAATCCTGCATTACCCATAATAAGGAATATACAATAATTCTCATAGTTTAGGGCCCTTAAAGTCATGCAGGATTTATATCATCAACCGTATCACGGGTGCTTTGTCTCTGCAGGTTTGGGCCAAGAAGTGATGCACGAGAAGTAGCGCCAACAAGTCAGCACAGCCGAAGCCCAGGTGCGTCGCCGAGTTCCCTACAGAAGACAGGCAGCAGACGTACCGGTGCCTCGGACGAGCTGCAGTCAGGAGTTTCATATGAGGTTCTGAGCCCCTGATAGCCCTTCCATACCCATCGACTCCATAGAGATACACAAATATAGCCCCTTAAATCCACGTTCCAGCTAGTCAGGCCCCTATTGTAGATGTCCCTGCTTTAGACTTATTGAATAGGAGAGCTTCGAGCTTGCCTGGGTTGTGCATTTTTTAACTTTTGCTTAGTACTGCTTGCTTATTGGGGAGAGATGAGAAAGTAGAGTTTGGATGCTTGCGTTATTTGGTTCGCGCTGAGTGGTTGAAGTGCCAGTACAAGATCACACAGCTTGGACATGCAATCTCCCGACAGACAAGGGTTTGCCGACTGACACCAGGAACACCGACTTTAAGCCAAAGCTGTTGGATCGGGCTCACAGTTAACAGGCTTAGCAAGGGGGTCTATAGGATTGTTACAGGACTTTTGGGCCCACATTGTATGGGGATGCTAGGTCATGACTGCAATAAGGATCCCGGCACGGTCTTCCCCAAGACGTTTCATGTACATTCCATGTGTGTAGTTAGCAGTTCTCAACCCCAAAGCCTGCGGGACAGAGGGTGTCTCCGAATCATCGTCCCTTGTCCGGGTCCTTGTCTGTACGATGACTCCAAGCCATATGAGCCCATGTGCTGTATGCTGCACTCGGCCTGATGTGCAGGATCGCCCTTTCCATGGGCAAAGGCGGTGCCCTCATCGCCACTCGGTGCAGACTTAAAAGGAGTATGGCGTCGGGTCTGGAGTCGTAGATTCCCGAGTGGGAAGGTGTGGAACGATTTGTGCCATCAAACAAGGATTAGGCCCGATAAGGCATGAGGGCTCTCTTGATCACGTTTCAGGGTCTGATGGTCGAGGTTTGACGGTCGACGGGCAATGGTTCAGCAAGCTTAATTTATCAGGTGTAGCCTGAGAAAGACATGTGGTTAATCGTTAATGTCAGTGGTGAAGCAATGCCAGCTTCCTATGCTGATAGCAGACTGTCACAAGCGTTGAGTGAGATCTGGTCATTAAGACCTTTGTGACGGTCCACACACAAATTCGGCCACTTTTCCTTCAAAGCAGATCGACACCGGAACACCATCGATGTGTTTGTTGCAGTGTCCCGGGCCCCTGAGGCGAGCGCATGTTGCATTAATGTCTTCAACATCTTGATGCATTGGTGCATTCCGGTTCCTGCAGCGCGATGGAAGCGAGGTGGGCTGCGTAGAAGAGCAGGCAATTGCGTTATGCTTTATAGGGCTGCGTACCCGAAGGTTGGGGGAAAAAGGCTTCAATTCCACACCTTAAACCTCCTAATTCAACCTTAGCTATAAACCCATACTAAAGCGACATGTTTCGTTTCAGAAGTGTCCCCCAACCCAGACCCGAGAGCCTAGTCTGAGTCTGAGCTGTTCATGTTTCCAAACGAGCCTTGCAACCCTAATTTTTCCTAAACCCTAAACCATTCAAGCCCTAACCTTTCAGATTTTTCAAAATATTCAACTCGCAACTCAGATCCCTAAACCCGATTGTTCGCTGTGTCTCAGGCCGTGGGCCAGAACCTGGCACTGTCCCTCCTCCAGCCCACAAGCTTTAGGCCCCTGAACGCTAAGAACAAGAGCTGTCCAACAAACTGTAAAAAGAAGCATGAAATACTTATCAATAATATTATGCCTTAGAGCTGCTTGTTGCAACTACACTATTAACCTATCCCTCGCCCAGCCCTGTTCCCATTATCCTCGCCCGGATCCTTACCTGGACTTACTTGCGTGGTTGTCAACATTAGGATGCCGTTTTGGGTCCTTATTATAATACGGCACCTAATTTTTCGGGTGCCCAAAAAGGATTATAATTTTTGACAACCACCCACTTGGAGAAACTGCGAGTCTCCAAAACTGATAAACCGCCAACGTTTTGTTGTCGCTTTGGATTCATCCGGCTGCTCGTGTTGTGGGTGTTGCCCCATGTCCTAATTTAGATATTAGCATATAGCTGCACAGTCTGTTCTTCGTGTCACTACTATGACGCTTATTATGGCGTAATTACATGATACTGCAATGATACTCTCTAGGAGTGTTATTGCAGTTCTGTGCGTAGGTAGCAGACAGCCCAATCGTAGGATTATCAGCTCAGCCCTATACAGCCTAAGCCCGAAGCTACTAGATTCACTCGGTGGTCCCACTCGTACCACTGTATGGTTAACCTTTCTTAGACTTGCGATCCCGAGGGCTACATAAACCACACCCCCCCAGAACCAAACATTCCAGATTTCAGAGGCATCGAGCCATGGAAGGATCCTGCCGTGGGCCTTTGGCCTCCGCTTGACACAGCCGTTCAGGCTGAAACGGAACGAACATGTACCGGGGGCTCGGGGCCATTGTTGGGCTTATGGCTCGGAGGCTATGTGCTTTAGGATGAATAGTCTCTGGTTCGGGGATCATCTATTCCCAAAAGTGGTGCATGCTTGTGTTCATGAGCAAATGCCTAGACATATAAATACACAATCCACGTACGAACATGTAAATTTGTATGCACAAATGTCTGTACGCATGTATGCATGTATGTATGTATACATGTAAGTATGTATGTGCATATGTCTGTCTGTCTGTCTGTCTGTCTGTCCGTCGGTCAGTCTGTCTGTATGTATGTATGTCGGTTGTTTGTTCGTTTGTTTTTGTGTTGCTTGTGTTGTGTTGTGTTGGTTTTGTTTATTTGTGTATGCCTATCCGTGTGTGTGTGTGTGTGTGTGTGCAGTATGTTCTCCGCACCTGTGTGCATGCACGTAGGCTGCTACGTATTTGCTCATGCATCTGCGCAGATACAGGTAGACTGGATCTGATATTTTCTCATTTAGTTAGAGCCTTCTCATCCTTTCGTCTTGAACACACCTGACCTTAAGCGGCAAGCAAAAAGTATTTGAACACAATTGGGCAAGCCTTCAAACAAGCACCGGCTTAGAAGATTCACGCTTTTGCTTTTCGGGGTAGATTGTCTAGGCATACGCTATTCCTATAATTGCTGTTGCAACCACCCTTACTGCTTGGCACACTGCACCTCAACGAGAGATGCCCGCCCAAACCATGATCGAGGCGAAGGCACTTCGGTACCTAAGTACGAAGTGAGACCTTCCACCAAATCTGACGTACGCCACGGCCCTTCAGACGATGCGTAGGCCCTTCATCAGAACATAGCAGGCCCTGGAGAAATCTTTTTCGAGTCGAAACACTGCCCCCGAAATATTCATCGCACCGTCACTCTATCTTAAGGCTATGAGTGCGCGAACTAACGTACCCTCGACCCCCAAAGATCCTGGTTAAGATTGCAGACTTTAGAGGTGCAGGCTCAAAGGGTTTATGTAGGGTGTTCGAAGCACTGGTTTTCCAACCTAAGCAAAATCCTAAAACCCCAATGCAGAGCCTAAAGCATCCTAAAGTTTCACATGTGCCCAAGCTGCCTCCACTGAGACTAGTAAAGACCATCATCGCTCTTTGTCCAACCGGTGCTAGCCTAGACACTACTGTGTCGCCGCGCCCTTAACTTCCTATATGGGAGTTTCCGAAAATTAGGGGTAACTTATTTTGGGGGGTCCTTATAATAAGGGTCCTTCTATGGAGGGTACTGTATTAGGACTAGTTTCGGAAACTCCCGTATCTACGAGAGTTCAAAAGTCTAAACCGCAGACCCTAAAGCCGTAAACCCTAGTGCAGATGCTGTGTTTGCGTGATCGTTATTGTTGCTGCTTTCAACCTCTCCCAACTTAGTGCAGTCTCACTTTACAGACCTCGAACCATATGCCGCGCCTGGATTGTCCGAGTGCGGGCGCCGACACCCTAAAACCCTTCCCATCTAAACCCTAAACCCCTAAACCATAAATAACATAAGCCGATTCGAGAAGTGTCGAAACCGATTCCTTCCTGTGAGAGGCCTTTGACGGTACCGTCCCGGAGGCCCAGCAGTGAACGTTGTGCGAGAGGGTTGTCGCTTATGATAATAATATAAGGGTCCCGTTTAAAGCGACCCTTAAAAAGGTTATATATATATATATATATATATATATACGGGCTACTAGCAGGATACTATAGTATAGCGGCCCAAATAATTAGCTATATTTTTTGTTTTGGGGGTTCCGGTCACTATATAAGACGGCTTCCTTCGGAATCCTTGCTGCGAGACACACACACACACACACACAGGTGGAATCATTGCAAAGGCCGGCCAACTAGCATCCCTTTGAGCCTCGCAACACAAAGAACCGGTGGGGGGCCGTGACGACTGAGGACTCCCAGCGGCTCCCATGCTTCCTAAATCATGTTTTGGGGGTTTAAGTCCTGCAGGCCCCGGCAAAGAAGGGCTGGATGGACGACGGGGACGATGATCCCGTTCGAGCCGCTTGGTAAAATGAAGAATAGAACATATTGCACTCTAATGTTAGAGTGCAGGAGGGCCGGGCCTGTGAATATGAGCAGCAACACAATTATCTCACAGCGATGTGTATTGCGCTCGAATGCGCCTCCAGGTCCCTGCACAAGCAGAGCAACGCCATCGAAAGAGTCTTACTCATATTCTCTGAACTTCACTCCACCTCAAACGAAGAGCCAGCCCATTCATGCGCCTGAACCCTAAGGGTCCATGTATCCCTGTAGAGATACATACGCCCCAAAGTACCCAAATAGAGACTACATTAAGGCCAATGTATATACTATATGAGTACATGGACCCTTAGGGGAAGCCCGTCAGTCCGAGCATCACATCTTGGTAAGCGGTCAACAACAACGAGAGGTCTTGATGCGTGCGGGGATGCCTCGCCCCGAGACGCCGGACATTTGGCAGGACTGGGCTTTAAGATTTCATCTTCGGCTTCAGCCGCTGTTTCAGCTTCATTAAACCCCAAATCCCTGATGCAGCTGTGCCAACATAGGCTTCATCTGAATCCAGTGAAGGGTCATATCTCTAGGGGCTGAGACCCTAAACCCTCAAGGTCAAAGTCATTTAAGGTTTCAGGACTTCCATGGGATAGGCAGGGTCTGTCCATCAGCAGTGTGGCTGATGGTTGAAGCGCTTGCAGCCGCTTACAAAGTTTAGTTTTGGACAACAGCAGCCGGGCATCCGAAGCCTGAACCCCTGGGCCGTGAGCTCTCCGAGACCTCGAGCCACTCCTTTGCATGCTCCTTTGCAAGGAAAGAGAATCTCTTTTCGTAGGTGAGATTATTATCTTTATGAGGGAGTCCTCAATACAATCGTCTCAAGAGAGGAACCCCCAAGCCTCAGAAACGTTCATGGGGCAATTCGGCTCCAAGCCCTGCCCTCTTCAGGAGCTCCACGAGAATAACGGACAGGAGACCGTAATGCTTTCGGGGTTTTGGGCGGTTTTAGTGGGCATGGGTTAGAAGGGGCCCCCACCCTGTAATAGTGGTATAATAGTAATATAGTAGGGCCCAAATATAATCCTTATAGTCACTATTACAGGGTGGGGTCAGCTTCTAAGGCATGGGTTTCGGGCCTGGATAAGGTTCACTGCTCAGCGCCTACGCTTCAATTTGGGTGCCAGATCAGGTAGTAGTTAGTACCTTCCCCCGTTTCCCACTCGTCAAGCTAATTTCACAAATTACGCAAACACTCGTCTATCCTCACAAGAGGCCTTGTCGTTCAAGCTTCCGTGTAGGCATTTCGGGTCAAATACAGCCGTGTGTTGCAGGTTTTCGGATGTCTTTTGTTGGTTTAAGACTCTCGGTTTCAGGCTTTAGTGACCGTAGGGTGTGAGGGTTCTGGGCTCACAAAGCCTGCGATGAGGGGTCTCGTGTTCCAACGGATTCCAACGATCAGGGTTAGGGAGCTCCAGTGCTGCGCTCGGTTTGATTAGGCATGGCCTTCATCCCTAAATCCGCGTCGTGTTGCTTTGGGCGCCGTGCCTCATGGGCTGGGGCTTTGGATTTGGTCTTACCTTTGGCCTCAAATCAAAACACCTACGCTTTGGGCTTTCCTCGTCAGGAACAAATTCTTAGTATGCTTCATTAACAGGGTCGGTTTGCTGGGCTGCAGGTAGGGCGTAGTTTGCTTCACTTTCGTGACCCGCGACGCCTCGACACAGAAATCAAGTACTTGTAATGCCTAGAAGCCAAGAAGCTTCGAGAACGCATTAGGCCCGAAACCCGAAACCCAGCAACCAGCGTATGTTGAGAATGCAGGGGGGGCGGGGGGGGGGCGGGGGGCATACATAGCAGCTTCGGTGAGAGGCCCCTCACCATCCCCTCACCGTAGCCTCAACCCTGTGGCTTCGGGGGCCTCGAGTTTTCAGATTTGGGGGCTAAAAGCCAGAAGCTAAGCCGTAGACCCCAGAACTTCAGCCAAATACCAAAACTCAAGAACCCCTGACATGTTGCTCCATGCTTGACGGCCAGGAGGGCGGGCCAGAGGCCGCAGGCAAGAATCGGCGACCCTCCTTGGAATCTGTGTGATGCCACCCGCAGCCGGAAAGCAGATGGAGCCCCTGTCAGGGCGTAGCTCGGGCCGGGCTTGTAAAGAGCTCAAAGCCTTAATGTAGGAACCTGATTAAAAAACCCTGGGCCCATAACCCCAAAATAGTAGGATTGTAGGATTCATATAAGGAGCCCTCATAAAGGCCTAAGGTTTCTTAACCAGGTTCCTACATTTGACTCCGAGCCGATAGGTTCGAGGCTTCCTGTACCATCTCGTGGCGGATGCACGTGCTCTTTCTGGCGTATTCCTTAGACAGACTGGGTTGTGCCTTGGGATAACTTATAATTTCCCTTATAAATTATCAGACTCTGATGCCGGAGCTCCTAACTGCAATCTCGATTAGACGCATCTGGTATGCCAAACCTCCAGTGCCGCAAGTGGTGATACCTCAAAGCTTTCCACCGTGGAGGGACTCGTGCATCTCCATTTCCACACTCGCAAGTCACGTGGAGGAGCTGGAGCTCATCTGATCTTCTCACCGAGACCCTAAACCTACCTTTGAAACCTTCCCCCTGAGATTTGGATCGAGACCTGACCATACACCTCAAGTTTGATCGCTTGACCTCCAACGTCCTCCTGCAATAGCCAGTGCCCCAAGGGCAAGTGCTCCGCAGCCTACCAAGGCCGTCAGTATAGTGACGGCACCACAACTATGACTAATGGTGATCACAGTAGACGCTACCAAGCACGACTGCTGCTGCTACAGGTAGGCTGTTACTAGTAGTACTCGTAGCAGTAGTAGTAGTAGTAGTAGTAGTAGTAGTAGTAGTAGTAGTAGTAGTAGTAGTAGTAGTTGTAGTTGTAGTTGTAGTTGTAGTTGTAGTAGTAGTAGTAGTAGTAGTAGTAGTAGTAGTAGTAGTAGTAGTAGTAGTAGTGGTGGTGGTAGTGGTAGTGGTAGTAGTAGTAGCAGTGGTCTAAACTCTCAAACGGAGTGTTCTTCTGCTAAGTACTCCTGCCCAGTTTGCTCGCTAAGCTTGGCTGACTGGGCAGAGTCGGCCGACCACGGAACCAAATGTAATGAGTATCCACTCCTTGCTTTGAAGAAGCGGGGGAAAGGGGGGGGGGGGGGCTCTTGCTGTAACCGGGCTGCTGGACAACGAGGCCTGCTGCAAAAAATGAGTATCCACTGTATCCACATAGTGATGATCGATATAACCAGAGACAGCGAGAGCATTGCTGGTTGCGTTCATTCATACATGCTTCGTGGGACGGGGTGGGGGGCAGAAACTTCGGCCTGGAGTTTGTCGTATAAGGTTTGTCTATGGTAAAGCTGCATGCATCGGAGAAGAGGCAGGTGTCGGGGACAGTGTGGGTGCAGCGAACAGCGCTGCAGCGACTTATCAGCTGTTCCCACGCCAAACGGGGTGTGTCTGACCAAAAGTAGACCTGAAGCGCATAGCCTTGCAGATGAAGCCAACCCGCAAGACGCGGAAAGACATGTGGACTGCATCAGCATGATGATACTTACGCCACACCTCATTGGTTTCGGTTTGGAGTTTTCTCCATCGCTCTCTTGCATAAGCAACGAGAGCATGACCAGCACCACCTGTCCGTCCAAAAGCAGCGGACATAATAAACGACCGTCCCCTAGTAGGCCCACGGACAATCCTTGATTTACCTTTTCAACGAAGTCCTGACACTCTAGGGCTTAGACTTAGAACGCAGATGCCTGTCCTCCCTGTCCCGCGGCTGGTCTTAGTAAGTAACTGGCGTCATGACTCTTCCTCATTGCAAGGGTTGTCAGTGCCACCACAAGTCCAGTCCAGTTTCGCAGACACTGAAATTCAGTACCCACGAGCCTGGATGCTAAATCTTGTAGCCTGAACCTCAACCGTAGGCACACGCAGTTGAACCACCAGCTCGAACTCAATGTCGTGATTCCTCATAGCTGGAGCTCTTTGCCATGACATGGTGTTTTCTTGAAACCGAGGGGACTGCTGCTCGAAACCTAACCCTGAACCCCAAACTGTCGTACCCTGGCTCCTTGCGATCACAATCATCAGCACCATCGATCTTTCCAAAGCAGTACTTACTGAGCCATAGACCCGAAACGGTAATTGGATTACCGTTCTAAACCCTAAACATGCCTAAGCTTTAACTTCATTACGCTCCACATCCTAAACCCTAATTTCAATTCATTACTGTTCGAAGAGGGTTACACCTACTGTGCCGGCGGACCTCCGGGACGAAGGGAGCCCGAAGGGCGTGTCCCGTGTCAAAGCTTCATTGTGGCTCATCTGGTCAAAGCGTTCCGGGATCAACCATTTTGCGAAGAAAACCCTGTGCCACTGCCGCTGTTTTGTTGGTGGGAATTCCGACCCGAGTGGCAAAGAGAGGAAATTGCAACCTCGTCTCGCAGCCCCTTGGCTGACCAAGGAGATAAACCAGAAGTATTCCAACGATGAGAGCAAGAGGCTGCTTGGCAGCAACGGTTTCGTCCTTGCAGGCTGAATTCCACAAGCTGACGTAGGCCTTTGATGTGCCCCCCTGCTTAATATAGGGGCCTTAATAATTAGAAACGGGTTTTGGGGCCCTGTGCACTCTGAATAGAGTCAGGAACCCCAATAGTATTAATGGCAATTATTGAAGCCTCTAGATTAGACTCTGAAGCTGCCATCTCAACACACAGCGTGCTGAGGCAGGAAGAGTTGCGCAAATTTGCGCAATCTCAAAGCTATGATGCCTGGCGAAGAAATGGCTTTTCTGTTGGCTTTACCGAGATAGTGCAAATTGCCAACCAATCTTTCCACTTCTAAGTTGAAGCTCGGCTACACTGTATTGTGCTTTCCGGTTTATGGATGCTGACAAGCATGCACGTGCTGTGGAACTTCCTTTGTCTTAGGGAATTTTTCAGCACCGCAACAGAGAGTGCAAGAAGGAATGGTCCATGTGGTGATCCGGTTTTATATTCTTGGGAGATTCCGCTTGGGATGGGAACTCCCGTATCCAACTTCCAGGGTCTGTTCCAGATGAGTAAGTCAGTGTTTCCTTCCAGGCACCTCGCAACTCTATGACCTTATTAACAGCCCTACACTCGAAAACTTGTCAACTAAAGCTTGCAAACCCCACGGCTTCAAATTGTTGACTCTTGCACGGGATCTAACCTTGGAGCAATCCTTGTAGACGACGAGTGGGAAGCAGCAGGAGGAGTAGTAGTAGCAGCAGAGGTAGTAATAGTTGTTGTTGTGGTCATCGTCGTCGCCGTCGTCGCAGAAATAGTTGTACCCATAGTAGCAAGCGCAGTGGTAGCAGCCGCAGAGGCACCGTGAATACTGGCCAGTACTACCAGTAATTTTCGCCGTTGTCTTCGCAGTTCCAATGCACGGAAGAGCGGGGCGGATGCTTAAGCACCGTTGTTGTTAGTCTTGCTGTGTGTTTGTTGGTTTATGGCCCTAGTGTTTTTGTTGCGATGCTGCCACCCCTGAGCCCGGAGCCCACTGCAGGCTGCCAAACTGCTCGGTTTTGAAAGTGTCTCGACAGCATTCACCGCAGCTGTCGCCTTTCAACCGTGGCTTTTGAGGGTTCGCGGTGCTAAGGGGTGCAGGGCTTTGGGGTTTAAGGGCCTTAAGGCCTTGCGCCTTGGGAAGGCAACCACAAGTTCAGAAAAGGCTCCAGCTTCGTTTCGAAATACACAGAACGCAGAAGAATGCGTCACACGAAAGGGTCAGCTTCCGGACAACCCAACCCGAAAATGGAAACTTCAATCTTCGGCCCTACACCCTAAGTTCGAAGTAAAGGCGCCTTCTTTGTTTTGTGTTTTAGGGGGTTAGAGTACCAGACGGCGCGGGAGACAGAAAGACATTACGGGCCTTGGGAGTTGGTGCTGTTACCACCAGCAGCACGACTGCGAGCCGTGTGTTGGTAAGGATGCAATCAAAAGTGTACAGACCCTGGATTCGGATTAAGGGTATGAAGCCCGAGACTTTTTTGAACCAGGTTCCATCATCAGCCCCCCCTCGCCATGAACAGCGTCAGGATGCCGCACTCCAGCCGAAGTATTGACCATGACCAACTAATACAAGGGCCTAAATATTTACCTATAGCATTTTCGGGGTTCCTTATTGAATTAGTACGTATAATGGGCTTTCAAAACCCTGTTCTGATAATTAAGGCCCTTACATGAATCATCAACATCACCCTAGCCATCTGAGTGCCAGGCCCCGAAGGAGCCCGTGAAATGCTTGACAGTGAACCAAGATCTTTCGGCTCTACTTGCCATGTTTGGCAGCGAAGTTCAATCTGAAGATCCTGACCCGCCCAGAGCATCATCACAATCGGATGACCCCTAAACCCTAAGCCCTTCATAAACCCTAAACCCTGGATAAACCCTAAGCCCTTTATAAACCCTAAACTCTAAACCCTAAAGCCTTCAGGCTTTGAGCTCGCAGTGATTGGGCTGCCAAAACAAACCCTTCAAACCTAGCCGTAGGAGCAGGGCCATGGGCCCCTTAGTGCCCTTAAAGGAAGCTTCACAGAACCATCCGAATCCTCGAAGTGGAGGAGCCTTTTGCAGTACCCTTAAAGGGGAAGCTCAGGAGCTAATTGCTTACGGTTTTGCGGGTGCACACGGCTTTTGAGAAGAAGGATTTGGATTGCCGGGCGACTGCATCAGGACAAGGCTCCACCAGACTTCTCGTACCGTTTGGGTTGCCCGGCTGCCCCAACCCCTATACCCTAAACGTCGCTATACACCTAGCGTCCTTAAACACTATACAACCCCAAAGTTGACGCAAAGCGATAGAGAATCCTTAAGACCTATAAAAGATTGCGCCAAAACGCTAAACCCTGAACCCTAAAGACCAAAAAGCCTGTGCCTGGACCTGAAACCCTGAATGCTTAAGACCGGAAAGCCCGCGCCCAAACCCTGAACCCTTAAACCCCAAAAGCCTGAGCCATGCCGTTTCGCGGCTTTCGTGCTGGAGTTTGCCTCGCCTTGGCTCCGTCGTTGCTTCGGCCATGGGCAGGTGCACAGAAAGCAGTTTACACTTCACAGCCCAATATGGAATTTGCTAAGGGGTCCGTATAATAAGTCCGAGTTGCGAGAGCGTAAGGATCCTAATACTTCGGGTACTGTTATTTGCATACAGTAGTTTAGACCATGACAAAAGCACAGCAAGTAAACCAATAGACACGTAAACAAACAAATAAGTCAATAACCATACAAGGAAATAAGTGCGAACGTGTCATGTCCACACAAATAAGTATGTGTATGTATATATATATACACATACATATTCATATGTACATGTATAATTATGTATGCTATAAATATGTACATACACATGTCTGAGTGTGTTCATTTGTTTACAGACTACGTATTTGTATATGGTGTATATGATTTCTAGAGTTACAAAAAGCCATAGTCCTTCAATTGCGAAGTCTACGTAGTATTGAGCAACCAGATAATCAGGGTGGAACACTGGTTGCCCTCTGCTAATGCTCATCCAGGATGTCAAGGGTGTAGGTTGCGTGCTTAGGGATACTGCGTCGACCCTGCGTCCCTTGAAGGCTTCAGCACGGTTAGCCGTCCTGGCGAAAAGCGGCTCCGACAAGCGCTTCGGCTTGGTTAGCCTCGTCCTTTTCACTGGGGGTTCCTTAATGTAGTTATGTAGTTATGCATGGTACTATCGCATAAGATACCTCGGAACCCTGTTCTGATTCTTAAGGCCCCCCTATATTACGCCTGCGTTGCTGCCCCAAGTGCCTCGGAGGGCTGCGGGTTGGAGAGGTTCATAGCTTAAGAGCCCAAACCGCCTAGTCCCAAGCTGTGTATCCACGTGCGCCAGACCATCAGCTCAACCAGGACCCATATCAGTGGAGCGAAAAACCCCTAAACGCTGATAACAACCGAGTCCTGAAATGACACTCTAAGTCCATATCCTTCGCCCATTTTTTTTGCCCTCAACTACATCCGCACTCTGAGGAAACACGTCCTGAACCCTAAACCCCAAGTATTCAAAGTCTTCACTCCGGAGCCCGGAGAGTGGAGCCCGAAGAGCCTGGGCGCCTTGAGCACCGCGCCCCCGAGCTCCAAGGATCTCGGCAGTTCTCTAATTTAGGGTTTAGGGAAAAGGGATTTTTAGTTAGGGTCCCTTTCACGCCCCTATCAAAAGGACCCCCAAGAGGGACCCGAATTTGGATAACCAGAACTGAGGGCTCCAAGGTTTCTCGTCGCTTAAAGGAACCCTGAACCCCAACCCTTAAAGGAACCCCACACCCTAAACCTTAAAAGGAATCCTGTAGTCGGATCCTTATCCCAAGGGCGTCTCCTCTTTGCATAGGTCTGGCCTCGCAGCGCCCCTACCAGCGTTGCCGCCAAAGCTTTCAAGGTCCTTCACCCCAAATCTGAGAAGCATGTCAAGTTTCGGCTGCAGGTGGAGTTGTCTCGGTCTTCGGGGTAACGTACATAGATCCCTAGGTAATTGCCGCTACTACTCCGCAGGGCCCAATATACGAGAATGGAACCCTGTTCTATGTAAGTATTAAGGCGCTATACAATACAGGGAGCTTTAGCGTTGGGGCTTGGCGGCTTCGTGGTGGGGCGTGACAGGGGTCGTGTATACAAGAGTTTCGAACCCAGGTCCGATCGCGGATTCCCAACAATGGGCTTTGGGTTTAATTAGGGTTTAGGATTTACCAAAAGTGAATTTTTCAGGGCTTGGATCACTGGACCTCTCACCTTCTCTTAGTAGGGGCTAGAATAAGGATCCTGATTTTCAAGGGCCCTTATGGTCCTAGCCGGACTTCCAGGTTTAGGCGTTTTGAGCTCCAACACCGCACCATCACCCATGCTTCCCTGCTTCGCAGCTTATGCCAAAGTCGAAGTCTGAAGATCCTGTAGCCTCAGTCTCGAATTGCTTGGCCTTTCAGCCGTAGGCAACTGAGCCTCTCAATCCCTCAACTCCTGAACCCACCAAGCTAGTGGGTAATTCTCCAAGTTAGGGCCGCTAGACAGGTCCCAAAAACGGCACGGCACCCCCATAAAAAGGTCCCCAAAAGGCACCCCCAGAGAACCGCCCAACTACAGAATTACTTGACCCTGAACACCTCCCATACTGCAAACCCCGAACCCTGAACCCTAAACAAAAAACCCTAAACCTTAAACCCTGAACCCTAAACCCTAACACACAGCCAGGGCTTCGGCGAAGCGCCGCCGAAGCCGAAGCCAAAGGCGACGGCAGCACCGAAAGGCGCAAAGATTGGCGTTGATGAATGGGATGGGGTTTAGGGGTATCTATCTGAGTAATTATGAGTATATACGTACATATCTATATATATTATATATATATACATATATGTGCCATGGACCTTTATGTATAGTTTGAGTCAGCCTTTGGTCGACTGAATGGGTAAGGCTTCGGCAGTTTGACATGCCGCTGCAACATGTAGTGACATAGTGTTTGGCTTCGTGTGCACCCGAAATGAGCGCCTTGCCGCAATCTAAAGTTGTCCGGGCCACAGGCCACAACATGACATCTTAACTGAAAAATCTTCTTCGATATATGTACAAGTAGAATAAGCCCCTAATCGATTGAATGGACACGGCCTTAGTCAGGCAGCTTGATCGGTGGGCGTTGCCTTTAGTGAAAAGAAGATAAGAGAATGTAGTGTAGAGAGCAAAGCGAAAGGAACGGAGCATGATTCCTTTATTCAAATTCACGACGCCACCGCCCACAACTCACAGCCAGGCACGAATCACATCAGGAGTTAGTTCACTTGGCTTCCTGGCAGTTAAATTATAAAACTATGAAGACAATCAGAGAAGTCAAATCATTTGTAGTTTAAGATAAGGAAACCGAATGAAATCATGCTTTGACTGTAAATGTACGGGGCTTTGTGATGAACGAAATAGTGACCAAGAAAACTAACCACAGATCCACCATCCGAGTTCCAGCCGTGAAACAAGTCCAAGTCAACACAATGAAGTCAGTCTTTTGTTTAGTTTGTTTTAGTTAATGCAAAGAAGTGAAAATAGAAAGTATGCGCGATTAAGACAAAAAACAGACAACATAGGAACGACATCACCCTTTACCAACAGTTATTTGTCTATCTATAATCTTTTCCGTCTTGGAGATGTGGTGATTGTGGAATGGAATGAAATGAGAGCGTGTTTGTTGCTCTCTTCAGTTCACGCACCACACATTCTGGAGACTTATATTGTAGGCTTAGATCTCTCTTTAAATGGGATCTTCTAATGATTCTAATGACAATATGACATCGAATCTTCTGACAACTTTTCTCTTGTAGGATCATGTCACGTGGCTGTAATTAAAAGAGCTAGATATAACAGGAAGAAAAGCGTGTTTCCTTACCTTTTATTCACATTAAATTGGGCTCTTTATGAACGAAACAAGGAACCCACAAGATATGAGAATGTTGCGTGTCTCATCTTATTGCAGCAAAGAGAAGCGAATAACGATTGCATGTTCCGTTGATTCAAAAAGATACAACACAATACGAACGGAACCAGAAACCAAGTCATTAATTTCCAAGGTGTCTGACGGTTTGTGTCCTACGATCAAAGCCCAAGTCAACCAACAGAAGTTTTCTGTCCATGAAGAGGCAATTTTGGTTTCATTTGTTTCAATTAAGTAACAGGTAGGTGACAGAAGGACCGCGGTCTTTTTCATTGAACAAAATGTGTTCTTTATTCCCACAAAGCCAAGGTAACGAGTGAAAGGTGGAACAGTAAGAAGGAACGATGTGCCTGCTTAAATGAAACAAAGACAATGAAGCGGAGCAAAAACTTGCTTTATTTCAGTTGAATGCGGCACACGTTTTCATCCTTTGATTCACCGCACAAGACACACCACAATTAAACCCAACAACAAAATGTCAGCAGGCGATCTCACGGTTTCGTTCATCATTGTTTTGCGTAATTTAAACATAAAGAAGGAACTGATGCATGGTTTATGTCTATTAAGCGAAGCACAAAGAAAACGAAAACATGAGCCGACATGGAGGTGCCATCAGAATCCCTTTATAAGAAATTGGGATTCATGAGCCTATTGTCCCTGGCGAACCACAAATCAAGGGTTAACCGATGATGAGTGAAAGATGAGAAGTGAATGGTGTGCATGGATGAATGACAGAAGGAACGCATGCTTTTCGCTTATTAAAACTAACATCATACATGCACGACTCATGACACAGAAGAATGATCCAGATGAAGCCCTTGTATGCATGGTGCTGGCAAAGCAGGCATTTCCTTGATTTGATTTGTTTTCGCTTTAGTTCAAGAAAGCCCACCAAGTCTCAACAAAGGACACATCACAAGATAGGAAATTTCATGAAGAGATCGAGTTAGATGAAAGAAGTCTTTCACCATTAACATCCTCAATTCCCTGTGATATAACCCTATCATTAGTTTCCTGGTCATTCTGTTCTCGCAAGAAATGACATGAAGGGTGTGAAAGGAACCGTGCGTTCCGTGCGCTTATTCCTCTCCCTTGCATGTCATATCTTGGTCTAACCGTTCATTCTGTTCCTTCTTTCGTTCCTTTCTTGTTCGGGTCAGTACCGTCGAAAGGAATGGAAGCGTGAATGAGCCAAGCACAAAAGGAACGAAAACAGGAACTGAACGGAAACAGCAATCGTAGTTGTAGGAAAGGAAAAAGGATGTAAGCCTAAAATATGTTAGCTTTGATTTCTGCTTATTTACCTTCATTATTTTCACTTTCTACTTTGCCTTTTATGACCTTCATGCTGTCTCCTCTTTGATTACATTACCAGCACATAAAACAGAAAAGGGAAAGATAATTAGAATGAAGAGCCGGGAAGATAATTAGACTGAAGAATCCAATACTTGTTTTTCCTTTGTGCTTTAATATGAAACGAAATGAATGAAGCGTAAGAGACGCACGGCTTGCACTTCGTTTCATAATTGCAGACAACGAAATGAAACAAGAGCCACAAAACCCAGCTTTAAATGAATTAAACCATGCCTTCGTTTCTCTATGTTACCTTCAATTCAATTACATTGGCTCTTTTGGGTTCCGTTCATTCTTCACTCCATTTTATCATAATAAGAGAATAACAAAGTGAGGCGAATGAAGAAACACAAACGAAGTGTATGTTTTGATCATCTCGCTTGGCCTTGCTACGAATGTAATCAGGCACAAGGTTGACCGTGGACTCGCGAGTCATTCTCTGAGTTTAACCGCCAGTCACGGTACATCCAACATTCCGTTTTCCTCACATCTTTTTCCAAGCTCACTGCCAAGCATGGATCCCACAAGCTTTAATTAAACCTAATGCGACAATATGGCAATGAAATGTAAGCGCGCCTTTTGTTGTGTTGGTTTTCATTTGCTCTTTCGGGTTGTGCATTTCATTGTAAAGGGAAAAGTTGCAAGAAAACACCAACAAGACCCAAACTAGCATAATGAAACGAAGCAAAAGGCGCGCATCCTTTACCATTCTGTTCCTTGCATTACACTAGTTTGTCCTTTTGGGGTTCGCTTCGCTCCACATCCTACATTGACTGGCTTTCCTGTAATCAAAGGTGGTGTAGTTTAAAGTGAACGAAGACAATGTAGCATAAGAGAAAGCGTGCTTCGTTCATCGTGAAACGCACCACGGGGTGAACGAGACAAACGAATCAAACTCTCATGTACTGAAACAGAGGAAAACGTGCGTTCCTTACATTCTCTTCATTTCGTTAGTTTAGCATGGGTATTTTGGTTCCCTTCACTTCCCACCTTACACTAAAATGGGTATTTTGGTTCCCTTCACTTCCCACCTTACACTAAAATGAGTTTATAATGCTGGAAGTACAACTGGAATCTAATGGCATCTTTATAGGTAATCTATAGTGGTATCTTCTAAGTTTATATGAATGAAGACAGACGCAAAAGAGCCAGATTTAGTCAATGAAAGATCAACTCGCGCATGCTTACTTTTTGTAATCAGGGCTTTTGCAGTCAACGGTCCAATTCCTGGCGTGTTACTCGTTGAGACCGTGTTTCGTTCATGCGTTCGTTCACTTGTTTCTCCCTGACACTTCGTTCCTTGAAAATCAGGAACGAACTCATTCACTTCATCTCACCCTTCACTCAGAATTGTTTCCCTGTTGTTTCATGCGCTAAACGATAATGAGGTGAATGCAAAAGAGCGAACGCACGCTTTCTGGAGATCTGGAACTCGTTTCAAAACCTCTGTGAGTTTGGTCTCTGGGAATCTGGAATTCTTTTTAAATTTTTTAAATTTTTAGAATTTTTGAAATTTTTAAAATTTTGAAAAATTTGGCCTTTGGGGGTCTGGAATTCTTTTTAAATTTTTTAAATTTTTAAATTTTTAAAATTTTTGAAATTTTTAAAATTTTTAAAAATTTGGCCTTTGGGGGTCTGGAATTCTTTTTAAATTTTTAAAATTTTTAAAATTTTTGAAATTTTTAAAATTTTTAAAAATTTGGCCTTTGGGGGTCTGGAATTCTTTTTAAATTTTTAAAATTTTTGAAATTTTTAAAATTTTTAAAAGTTTGGCCTTTGGGGGTCTGGAATTCTTTTTAAACTTTTAAAATTTTTAAAATTTTTAAAATTTTTGAAATTTTTAAAATTTTTAAAAATTTGGCCTTTGGGGGTCTGGAATTCTTTTTAAATTGTTAAAATTTTTAAAATTTTTGAAATTTTTAAAATTTTTAAAAATTTGGCCTTTGGGGGTCTGGAATTCTTTTTAAATTTTTAAAATTTTAAAATTTTTAAAATTTTTGAAATTTTTAAAATTTTTAAAAATTTGGCCTTTGGGGGTCTGGAATTCTTTTTAAATTGTTAAAATTTTTAAAATTTTTGAAATTTTTAAAATTTTTAAAAATTTGGCCTTTGGGGGTCTGGAATTCTTTTAAATTTTTTAAATTTTTAAAATTTTTAAATTTTTTAAAAATTTGGCCTTTGGGGGTCTGGAATTCTTTTTAAATTTTTAAAATTTTTAAAATTTTTGAAAATTTTAAAATTTTTAAAAATTTGGCCTTTGGGGGTCTGGAATTCTTTTTAAATTTTTAAAACTTTTAAAATTTTTAAAATTTTTGAAATTTTTAAAATTTTAAAAATTTAAAAAGAATTCCAGACCCCCAAAGGCCAAATTTTTAAAAATTTTAAAAATTTCAAAAATTTTAAAAATTTTAACAATTCAAAAAGAATTCCAGACCCCCAAAGGCCAAATTTTTAAAAATTTTAAAAATTTCAAAAAGTTTAAAAATTTTAAAAATTTTAAAAGTTTAAAAAGAATTCCAGACCCCAAAGGCCAAACTTTTAAAAATTTTAAAAATTTCAAAAATTTTAAAAATTTTAAAAATTTAAAAAGAATTCCAGACCCCCAAAGGCCAAATTTTTAAAAATTTTAAAAATTTCAAAAATTTTAAAAATTTTAAAAATTTTAAAAATTTAAAAAGAATTCCAGACCCCCAAAGGCCAAATTTTTAAAAATTTTAAAAATTTCAAAATTTTAAAAATTTTAAAAATTTAAAAAGAATTCCAGACCCCCAAAGGCCAAATTTTTAAAAATTTTAAAAATTTCAAAAATTTCAACAATTTTAAAAATTTAAAAAGAATTCCAGACCCCCAGAGACCAAACTCACACTGCCCACAGAGCCTGCCCTTTAACTGCTCATACTAGAAGAAGCAGTTACTCAAATAGCGCAGAGAGGTCCTACGCACATACATATATATATATATATATACATATATATATATATATATATATATATTCATGTACGTATTATGTATGGAGTTTCTGGGTTTCGCGAGTTCGTGTACGGGTTGCAACAGCTTGAAAGGGTGTAACACATATGTGCAGGTTTGGGGCTTATTCCGGCTCTCAAATTCCCAGCCGATCTGCTTTTGTTTTCCAAAATTTAACGAAAACTTCCAGAAGTCTTCAAAACTTACCATCTATGGGGGGCAGTAAGTTATCAAGACATGGGGCATTTGGTCTCTCTCGAGCTGATCATGAACTACCTACCAAGGCAGCGGGTGATTAAGGGGTTACTGTAGGGCCTTAAAAAATAAAAAAGTGTTTGGGGGTATATAGGTTGCCGTAGGGGCCTTAATAACTAGAATAGTGTTTGGGGGTATATAGGTTACCGTAAATGCCTTAATAATTAGAATAGGGCTTGGTGGTATATTGTACTATCAAAAATAATAAGGAACCCCGGCAACCCTATTCTAATTTTTGAGGCCCCTACATTATTGTGGCCTCACCACTTACCACTAGTCGGGACTAGTGGACGGACGGTTGAGTCACCTCCTCGTAGTGCATGTTGTTGTCTCTATTTCAACGAGGTGAACTGTAACAACCATCCTGCTGCGGTTCGACACATACCGTACTGCATCAGATGCTTTGTTGGTGCGAAATTAGCTGGATTTTGCACAAATGCATGTCATGATATGTCCTTCATAGCGATTGAAAAACACCTCTATCACCAACTGCAATAAGTTGACATGACCTTTGTATCACATAGATTCCAGAACACTTATTACTTGACTGCCGAAGCTCTGTCTTGTCCTGCCCGTTGAGAGCCTTGGGAACTGTAGTTAGGTATGAATTAGAAGGGGCCCCCACCCTGTAATAGTGGTATAACAGGAATATAATAGGGCCCTAATATAACCCTTATAGTCACTATTACAGGGTGGGGGCAGCTTCTAAGGTATGAACCATAAAGTCGATATCAATGTCAATTGGTTGGTTGTTCTGTCGAGCAGGAGTGTAGACACGAGCGCGAATGTTTGGTTTATTGCCATTGCTAAACCAGAGTGCTTGCATCTGGCAACTTGAGACTTCGAAATCTCCAGAAGACTAGTCTCCCAAATTGCTTTCTGTTGTTCATTTTGAATTTGTTTTTTCGCTGCTAGAGCTGAACAAAACCGAGTCAGTGCACGAGAGAGGGGGAGAAAAACCGAGAACTCGTCTGCGCGGATTGTGCGAGTGGAATCTGTTGCGGGGGTAGACGCTTAGGGCCCGTCACGAGAGGGAGAGGGAGCGATAGAGAGACAGAGTGGGTGTCGGGCTCAACTTGGTCACTAAGGGTTGCTATAGGGTTGGTTTCGGGGTTTGGGCCTGGAGCTGTGCTCCGACCTCACCTGCTTTCAAGGTCTTTCCGATCTGCGGACGGAGAAAAGGTGCTAAAACAAATTGCGAAAACAAGTTAGCCATATACACACAGCTTTGAATCAGAATTGGCACCAAAGCCTCCGCGACACTTTCAAGAGAGCCCATCTTCTCGACCCAAGAGAAAAAACCCCAAATCCTAAACCCGTACACTGCAATGCGGGCTTCGTCCTTGCCAAGTAGGAGGGAAAAAATAACCCGTAAGTTCAATGTGGCGCAGGGTGTCGAGCGGTGCTGGTGTCAGGCAAGGATGGGAGCCAGTGGCAGGCGCCAGATTCAATGAATACAGGGGCCTAGAAGGGTACTATAATATAGGGGCCTAAACAATTTCCTGAAAGGGGTCTATAAGGGATCTATAGTAGAGTGCTATGGTATAGGGGCCTAAGTAGTTACCTACACTATTTGGTGGGTTCCTTGCAATAATTATAGTATACTGGGCCCCAAAACCCTAGTTGTTTTTACATTGCTTGAGATTTGGAAACCCCTGACCCCTAAAACCCCTAAACCCTAAACCCTCTAAACCCAATCCTAAATGCAGGGCTCCTGGTTTCGAGCTTGGGCATCAGAGTTCGTAGGCTGGGGGAGCCCCCTTTTCATGAATCTAGCACACATATTCTAACCTACCAAAACCTGTTTTTTGTGGGGTCCTTCTAATTTCCATATTAGGCTTTGCAAAAAAAACCTGCAAAAAACTAGGTTTTGGTAGATGAAGGTATATACTCTAGGCTCTGTACAAACTTCTGCGTAGGGACGACTCGCGACTGAGACCTTTAGGGGGTCAAGAGGGCTGTCTGATGCACAAAAAACGCAGATTTTCGGTCGCCACCCAAGTTCGATGGCCACTATAGGGGCCGGTATAATTACCTATACTATTTGGAGGCCTCCCTATTCTAATTCTTATGGCCCAAGTATTTGTTTGAGCAGGTTCTCATCGGGAAGAGTGCTGCTGACAACGACCGCCTGTCCCTAGAGCAGGGACGAGCTGATGAGGCGCAAGATCCAGGGGTTCAGGCCTTCAGGCATCAGTGTTATGCCTTAAGTTTACATTGGGCTTATCCCGGCCGTGAATTCCTAAAGACCAGCTGTTTCCAGGTGTGGATGCATGCCGCTCATGTTCCCGGATCGCACGTGGTGGTCCGTGCCGTCTCTTCTCAGGCCTGGGTGCACAAAATCTTGAAAACTCTTGATTCAATTGCATTGGTATTCATTTAGGCATTATATATCATAGTACCCTTGTAGATCCCTCATAGTAACTCAACTAGACCCCAGATTCAACAGTAAGCCAAGGATCTAGGCCTGTGGAAGCAGGACTTAGAAGTGAAGTTGACAAGTAGTCCGCGGCAGTGTCGACCAACTAATCCTTTTCACCAGGGCGTTCCTGAGGGGTGTTCCAGTACTCAGAGGCCCAGGGGACTTAGTAAGTAGATTATAAGTAGAGTTATCAGTACCCTAAATGGAGCTACCCCAATTACAACCCTACTTAAAACCGACTTACTACGTCCCCTGGGCCTCCAAGTAACGAAGCCGCTGCGAGCTCAACACCATGAGTCAACCCGGTCTTCTCCTGTCCTATGCAGGAGTTTTCAAAAAAATAGTGGTACCGTATTTTGGGGTCCTTATAATAAGGACCCAGGGTACTATATTAGGGTCCCCTATTTTCGGAAACTCCCATGCAGGGACGTCCCCCTACCGACGTGATTTCGATGCTTGGCCGGAGCCGGGGGGCGTTTTGGCGGGGTCTCACGTCTAATTAAGGCTGACCAAGGTTATCACACGGAATGGCTGAAGCAGGTGCATAAGCAAGCGTCCCTGCTCTTATGCGCACACATAGAGGGAGAGAGAGAGAGAGAGAGAGAGAGAGAACATTCAATCTCCAGCCGGTCAATTACAATAAGTATTGAGATGGTTACAGGGAAACGAAACACTGGCGAAGCAAGCGGTCCCTCTTGACGGTCAGCATTGTTATCCTTACACACCGTACAGATGCTTAAATGGCGAAATAGAGATGCAGCAAGCCTACCGAACAAAGTGGCAAGTTGTCTTCGGACTCAATGAGGCACTCGACTAAAAGTTACCTCCATGCACAGCACGACGAAGAGGTATGGAGTGGCATTTAAAGCGGGGAAGCAACTCAACCCTTGCACGATGTTCCACTCTCTGGTCTGCAAGCATTCTGCACTTACCAAGATGCTCTCTCATCACATGAAGCTCCGTAGCTGCAGACCATGCTTTCTAGGATCCTTCGTCACACGGATTTCATCTTATAATAGTGTGTTTTTGTGTCATAGTATACGTAGTATAGGATAGCATACCGTGTGATACTATGTCATACAATATGATCCTGGTATTCTGGCCTGCTATTTCGTGCCCTTGCATTGCGAGACACTTGATGATGGCACGGCAGAGAGAGAGAGAGAGAGAGAGAGAGAGAGAGAATATGAACCTGAGGAAGGCAGCCTCGTTGTGCGAGCCGCGGCTGCATTTCCAGTATGGGACTGCCGGGTTTGCACGATTCAACGCTTAAGGGTACCGTATTTAGGGGTCCTTATAATAAGGATCTTACTATTTTTTCGGGTACTATATTAGGGTCCCCTACTTTCGGAAACTCCCTGATGACAAGACATCGAAGCTCGCAAGCACCATGCAGAATCCTTGCAGCTGCTCACGCCATCTCTCTATGTCATGTGAGCCTGCTGTGGTCATGCAGCTACGTGGTTCGGAGTTTTTGCGGCCTGGACTCAGCGGAACTTAGGCCTACTACTCCAAGGCGAAGGCAGCCTCTTCGGCCACTTGGCATGTGCGTAGAAGCTGTCTGGTTCAGATCGTCAGCTTGGAAGATGTGAGGGGCTTTGCAAAATGGGGGCAGGGAAGGGGGTCTGTAGTTTCAGCATTAAGCTCGCCACGCCGATGGCGGCCCAGTGCAGGCCCTTCGTCATCACACAAATGTCACCGAGCAGTAGACTGCCCCCACACCAATGAACAGCCTACAGGGGTGTATACGGTATTATGGGGCTTTGCGTTTGCTTGCCAAAGACCCCGCTGCACGATTCAGGATTCCCCGTGGGTCCAGTCATGCGCAATGATTCCCTTCGATCCTCTTTGCAGTCTCTACAGTCCTGTACCCTGCTGAGCCACCTAGGCGCCATCTCTAAACCCGTAACTCACGAGACGCCAGCCATCAACTGCAGCAAGCACACAGCACAAACACCCTAAGCCTTAAACCCGGAATCACTATACAAAAGTAGCGAACCCTAAACACAAGAACCACAAAGTATAGCCTCGAGCCAAGCAGGTGGAGGTCCACGTCACAACCTGTGGGAAGGTGAAGAAGCTGCCTGGAACTCCTGCGGGCCAGGCGGACTCGGGAGCTGGGTCCGCCAGGAGTGCTTGTCCCTACCTACCAGAACCTACTTTTTTGTAGGGTCCCTATACATTCCGTATTAAGGTTTATAATAAAAACCTACAAAAAAGTAGGGTTTGGTAGGTTAAGGTAAAACTCCAGTTATTAAATACTGGGCTCTATTTTTTGGATGGGTAGTCACGTAACCTACTATTTAGGTAGCTGGAAGGTGACTTAAACGATAGGATTCGGAACACAAGAATTTTCTGCGGGCAGAAAAGGGGCCTCAAAAAAAACACCTGAGCCCCCAAACCGTAAGCGACTGTGGTACAGTCAAGAGTCAAAAAAAGCTCCTCTCTCGTAGCTTGTGTCGGCCGTCTTCACATGTCTACACCCTATACAACATCCCAACAAGCCACCGCGAGATACGTCAAGCCGCTACTGCCCAACCACAGCATAATATGTTTCATGGGCTTTCCCGTTAGGTCGTACGCTCTTATGAGCACCACCCAGAGAGAGAGAGAGAGAGACATACATATATATATATATATATATATACATACATATTTATAATACAGAGGGACAGGCACAATACACATGCATAAACCTAAAAGACTATCCCGAGGCTGAACTGGCCACTTATTTGGTGTTTGAGTACTGGCATCACAGGAATTTGGGCAGAAGCACAGAAGCAAAAGGCTAAGCATGTGTCTTGCTTCCTGTTGCGAGTGTGCTGCGACCGTCACAGGACACACAGAGACTTATGTATGTGTGTGTAAGTGTCTGTATGTATGTATATGTGTGTATATATATATATATATATACATATACACACATTTATATATATATATATATATGCATGTATGTACGTACCTACGTAGATATGTATGTATGCATGTATGTATGCGGGTAGGTAGGTAGGTAGGTATGTACTTGATTATCAATCCGTCTATTCATCTATCTATTTGTACGTGCCTGTCTCTGTAATACATGCATGCATATGTCTGTGCGTGTGTGCGTGGTTAGAGATGCATCGATGTGTATACACCAACATTGATGTCTGTGTTTATACAGAGGTAGTATGTCTTGTCGACATGTTCTACAAATTTATGTAGTGCTGCGCATCTGGTGTGTAATGATGCTTTCTTTATGTATACACACAGGTAGCCTCGCAGTAGCTAGGCTATACATCCTGCTCTGTGCCTCAAACCTGTAGCTTGAGGTTTCCTGGCCCCCAAGCATGTGCCTTATTGAGTTCTGATGCCCTGAGAAGGTCGTGCTCATGCCCGGCTGGAAATCTGCTGCTTGGATTCCTTTAGAATGTTGTATGAGTCGGGGAACCAGCGACGTCGACATTTTTTGTTCTCTCTCTCTCTCACCCAAAATACTGAATGCGGGCTCAGACTCTCAGACAGACACGGACACAGACAGACAGAGAGACGGGCGACTCAGCGAGTTTACGCTTCCACCCGCCCGCCAATTTCGAAGAACCCCGGGTTTTAGGGTTTAGGATGTGCTCGGACGGTCGCGTGCTGGCTGGGCACGCAGTAGAAGATACACTACTCCACAACAAGCTAAACCAAAGCCAAGCCAGGCCAAGCCAACAGTAAACAGTAAAAATAGAGGCAGGGAAAGATACAGCACATGAGCATCTGGAAACCCAGGTCCGCATCGGACTGTGGATGCTGTTTTGCATGACTCGTGGATGCGGCCGGCACATGTGAGAGGTGAAATCGAACAAGTTACCGTCGCAACGGTGAGCCTGAATGGCGAGATTCTGGTCGAAGGGCTTTCCAGTCGGGTGCCTGCAATCTGCCAGGGAAGGGTCCCCACGGCTTTGAAGCCTTCTAGGTCAGGCTGTGGATGCCAGCTTTGCGCAGGGGAACGTTCTGGGCCGAACAGCCTCAAACTGCAGTGAATCTGCCAGTCGGAACAAGAATAAACCAGTTTGGGCAGGGGCCGAGGCGGTGCCCAGGCCAAACGTAAAAGACTGCTTGACAAGTATGTTCACATGCTACACAGCAGGGACAGAGCTGGATTCTTAGCTTTTAGCAGGTTTCTGGTTTTCACGTTTATGGCTTTCCGAAGCCCCTGCTCATCAAAAACAGTTTAGGCTTCGAGTTCGGGATTTCAGGACGTTATGCATGTGAGTCTCGTCCCGACGAATGCATAGAGCAAAGGTTGAACATAGTGGCTGAAACAGTCAGAATAGAGTTGGGGGGTATATCATACCGATAACTTCAGTCAGCACGCTAAAATGTGTTTTAGCTGTTAATCGTGTTCAGCAGCTGTAGCTCAGTGCCTGCTAATCGAAAGCGCCGTGCCTTCGTGTCGTGTGTTGTTTTGATTCCTGTAAGATCAAAGCAAATACGACACAGCACGGCGCTCTCACTGATGCGGTCAGACGGCATTTGCTCCGCTTTGAAAATGCACCCTGTAAAGCCATGTGTCTCGACTTTGCCGAACCTAGACCATTGTCTCTAGTCTAAACTCCTTGTTAGAAGGACTCCTTATTCGGTTTGGGACTCTGGTATACACAAAGTCGCCGGTCTCATTCCCCGAGGTCACGGCATCGCCCAAGGCCGCCGAAGCTATCCGAGATGCGAAGGGATGACTCACGAAAAAAAGTGCGTGCACAACTTAGGGCTTAATATATATAGAGACCTGAAAATCATTACCTATACTATTTTGGGTGTTCTTTATTATTATAGTATACCGGGCCCCCAAAACCCTCCCTATAGTATAGTATAGTATCGCTTTAGATCCTTTATATGGCCCGTTTTAAAGGAACCCAGTTCGAATTATTCAGGCCCCTATATTAGGATCCGCGGCGCAGGTAAGAATCCTTGATCTCCAGTACAAAGCATTGAGCCGTTTGGGGTTCCAATGCTTGACTCGTATTCTGAAGGCGAAGCTTTCTTGTCATTTAACCTTTCGGATTTTCAAGCCCAGGATTTGACTTTTGTAGCAGTCCTCTACGCAGACGGCCAGACAGGGCATTAGCACTGTGCTCTTCTGCTACACTAAAGCTTCATGCTTTGGGATGGAGCGCTTCTTGGAAGCTAATAGTGTGATACTTAGGGTTGGCCCTTAAACCCGCCCCCCGAAGCTCTACAATCCTTGGCATTTGCAGCCAAGGTGGGCGGAAAGGGGCCAAAGGTGGCTACAAAGGTGCCCAGGTAGCCACTTGGCTTCGAGGGGCTCTAGCCTTGGGATGCCTTAGGAGGGACTTTGAGGTGATGACGGTGACTACCACAGGGTTCCCTTAAAGGGCTCCTTTAAGGGATCCTAGACGGGCACCATAAGGGTTTAGTATATAGGGTTAGCTGCAAAGTTCGAGCGCAGAGCTCGGGAGTGGATTGTAATCCGACTCTCGAGTTCCACACAATGACGAGCGGGTTTAGGGTTTAGGGTAGGGTTTACATAGGGTTTAGGGCCAATCCTGTCAAGCGCGTCTTCTTAAATTCTTAAGCAAGCCCACAACCCACGAGCCCCGAAAGAGTCGTGGGACAATGTGGAGATCTCAATACGTGGTGCTGGTATCCCCTTTCAGAAAGTCTTGTGATCCCCACAGTCGAACAAGATTCACATGAATGAGTTCACACGCATATGTGACATATTTGTATGTGTGTGTATGTACATGTATATATGTATATACATGGTTGTCTGCTTATACATGTATATCAAATATTTGTCGTGGTTGTACGAGTGTTTATTTTTTGCACACACATATGTATAATATATCTATATATATCTATATATATATATATATATATAAACGTATGCTGGTGTGGAAGTGTTGACCATATATATATATATATATATATATGTATGTATATTTACAATATACACACATGCATACGTCTGAAGTCTATTCAATAATTAAGGCCCCTGTTTCACGGCTGGAGATTCACATTCTGTTGACCCATGGAGCCCACCTGGCCGGTATGAGCGTGGGTACCAGCCCCCTGGAGCCTAACAATCCCCACCCCCCGACCCCCCGCATCCCCCCCCTCGCCCCCGGTGTGAACCTTTTCAGCCCAACTCAGTCTCACATCCTGACAACCATCTAATAATCAGTCTAACGTGTTCTCAAAGCTTGGGCCTTACAGCCCCCGCTCACTGCCCTTTTTTTAACGGCCCTGGATCGCGGACGCCTTTGTCCAAGGAAGCATCCTCCAGAACAGTAGCGGCCAACCCTGCCCAAATGGCGGCCACTTGGAGTTGTTTGCAAGACGCCTTTGAGCTCTTATAGAAAGCCATTGAAGGCTTATGGAAACCTTCTAGATCCCTTATATAGAGCCCTTAATTATAGACACTTTGTAGATTTCTTAAAAGCACTCATCGGGAGAGGGAGATTTGTTTGGAATTTGTTGGGTATAGGGTTTAGGGGTTACGGGAGTGTAGGGTGGGATCGGCCACGAAAGGCTCGGATACCGTTGTATCGTTTACCCCCAATCCTGCGCAGCGTGTCTAGGGTCCTTATCCCAAGACTTTCCACATTTTTGGCTGAGTGTCGTTGTGTGTCTGCTTTTTCTTGTTGTCCCGTTTCCATCTGCCGCCTGCATCGGTTCGTCTGAGCGCACCCCATTCGCTCAACAACTCGCCGAGCCTGGGACATACAACACATCGTAGAAAGAGGGTTAAGGTAAATCCGAAATCCTTCAACTCAAGACAAAGCCCTCAACCCCAAGCCCGAAGCTCTGAATCTTAAGGGCCTTAGTTTTTGGGAAGTTTACTTTAGAAACAGCCTTCGACCCTCGCACTTTGACAGAGAGCGAAGCCTGCCGTTCTGAACCCCCCGAGCCAAGAAGTCCGACAGCCAAGCCCTAAACTCTAAACCCTTAACCGACAGCTGAGGATGGCTGGGGGAACTATGCCGAACCGGGACGCGTTCCTGCTTCCAGCTGGAGCGACTATGCCGAGCCAGGGCAGGTTCCCGCTACGCCCACAGGCGCGCAGGGATCCAGCTCGAGACATGGAATGACAAACATGTACGTGTTGACTTGTTTATATGCTTTGTGTTGAGAACATATATTTATATGTGCATCTCCACTAAGATGTTGTGTAGTCGTCGAACGCCAATTTCACAATGTTCGAGTTCCACATTGGCATCTCCAGTTTCGAACAGCATGGTGCTCAGGGTCAAACCAAGACCTGAACCTCGACCCGATGCATACGATCCGACGCCACCCCAGCATGACGAGAGTTAAAGCTCATCTCGCCGGAGAGGTCCCCACCAATGTTTAGGACATGGTACTCTGGGATCAGGTTTTAGTTAAGGGCCAGTTGCATTTCTTTGAAGGAGGGGTTCAGGGATTTGAGGTTGAGTGTTTTGGGGGTTACATGGATTTCGCATCTTTGTGACATAGCATGTCAATTAATAGGGGCGAGTAAACCGCAAAGCGACACGCTTCCAAATAATTACTACTGAAGGTAGTCTTACAATGGGCTTGCTTATGCGGGAGTTTGATGCCGTTTCACAGGCCCGTGGATACATCGTGCCACGAACCAGCCGCCGTACAGAGCGCAAGAAGGCGCAGGTGCTAGCCGGCGAAAATTGATCATGCGTAGCTCCTCATGATTATGATGACAGAAATTCATTGCCTGGATGTTCTGTGTCTCTGCAATCTCTCAAGACTACAGATGTGCCGTCCGCTTACTTGTATTGAAAATTAATTTACAGTTTTCTGGGTTGCAGAGTAGAGTTGCGTATCTGTACAGTAACCCTAAAACATAGGAAAGACTCAACACGTTGTTTCTTGGCCGCAGGTGTTCTCCATATCCCTCGCCGATGAGCAGTATTGTGTTCATGAAGCCAGCTGTAGCAAGAGCAGCCAAATGGTCCAGTGGCCGGTTCACTGGGGCCAATTTCTGCGAACAGAAGTCTTCGCTGCGTATACTTGATCTCCACATTTCAGCTTCCTATCCATTGACAACAAATACTAGCAGTTAGGTCCAAGAAATCGCAACAACTCGAAAACTTCTTCCGAAGAAAGCGGTGCCAAGCCAGGAGCTGCGAGCGAAGTGTACATGGCAAACTTTTTGGGACTGAGTTTAAGTTTCTGTGTTAACTAACGCGTATGCACATAACGGTACGTATATACATACGTAGTTACATGTACATGTGCACACGAATACATACATACCTACCTACATACTTTCGTCCACGCGCACCTACCTGCATTTACATCTATCTTACACAGAGACATGAATGCACACATACATGCATGCATGCACAAAGACATACTTCGATACATACACTGTGTATGCATACATGCATAATTACACACAAACCATACATACACATACATACGTACGTTAATACATACATACACGCATACGTGCACGCGTTGATACATACGTACAGAACAAGCATACATACATGCACTCATTCATACATAGATACATACGTGGATACATACGTACACACATACATCAAGACACAAATACATGCATACCTGAATACATGCAAACGTGCATACGTGCATACATGCGTGTACAGGCGTACATATGCACCTGTCTTACGCACACACGTACATGCCTACCTACATGACATGCGTGTGTACATACATACGTACATAAACATCTATTTCATGCACACACACATGAGTACATAGGTGCTTACATACAGGCAGAACAGACAAACATACGTATAGACATGCTCACACGCTTGTGCATGCACACTTGTGTGTGGTTATGTAGTCATGCATTGCAGACGATTGGCGCAATTTGCAACTCGGAACCTCAAGTTCGAAACATGTTAGCAATGACGTCCGATTCGACTCGAAACCCAAGTTCCAGCAAATGCCATGATTTTCGGACCAAGTTTTCCAGGGCGCAGCACAGTGGTAGAAACCTCGTGAGCCTCCCATCGAAGAATTGGAGTTTCACTCACGGCCTTGAGTGTCAGTCCGGTTAGTCGAACAGTACAGAGCTCCTCGCTTTGGCACCGCATTGCGATTTGCAATTAACATTTTGTGACGGCCGGTGGATTTCTCGGAGTTGCATTTCTTCACCAGGGCATTTGGCGCAAATAACGCTCTCACATCAGTTATTTTGTTCCGGCAAGGTTGACTAGCTCGAAGTCCTTAAGTGGGAAAACTTGTCCCATGGAATTATCTCGCCGAAGCACAGCATCGAGTGACAGTCAGGCTGTCGCAGAAGTTCGGGAAGCTTAATAACCTTAATGTAGGGGCCTTAAATAAGTACCTATACTTTTTTGGGCGTTCCTTATTATAACATGGGCCCCCAAACTCTATTCCAATTATCGAGGCCCCTAGATTAGCTCCAAAGCCTTCCTGTCCCTAGAACCCCATTCCAAATTCCGAACCCCTCAGAGTCCATGTGCTCAAAAAGTAGAAACAGTGGCCTCAAAGTCGTTCCTATATAGGTACTTTGGGCCCGAAGTGTATAGCATTTGGGTACATGGACCCTTACGGAGATGTCCTCTACGACCACCACTTTCGAAAAGCCTTGGAAACTGTCTGTATCATGTTGATCAATATATTCGTTTGGGACAGCATGGTGAGACACACTTATTCTTTGAATTTTTCGATCTAACTCCCAGCCCTCCAAGCCTCGTCCGATAATATGTATCTTGGGTCGAAATAT